CGTTTCTTGGCCATTTTTACAACAGTTGTAATCGACTGGCACTATCAAAATTGTGATCACATGTAGAACTATGTTAAGCTGAAGGCTAATATTTATACTGTTGGAAAGGTAAAACTAAGCTAGCTATTCGGGTGTATCAACATCTTTTATATTGTGCATATTTTTCTCGTCGTGCTGTGGTACAATACGCATTACATATTAAATAATCCTCAAAGAATTTACCAAAGAACATTTATGGTTATGCAATGATTTGTATTAGTGGGTGTAGTCACCTGGTTTTTTAGCTCACCTGTCACTTTGTGACAGGGTGAGCTTTTGTGATCGCTTTTCGTCCGGCGTCCGTCCGTCATCCGTCCGTCGTCCGTCCGTCTGTCCGAGCCAACATTTGATTATTATGAGCTTCATTCCGTAGTTAAATAAAGAACATAAACTCATAAAATTTAAAATTAAGAGTTTTTTTTTGTTTTTATGAGCTTATTTTGCTTATGGACGTTGGTCCAGGTGGTGTTTATGAGCTCATTTGCCTCATAAACATCAAATTTTGGTACGTCCGTCCGTCCGTCCGTCCGTCCGTCCGTCCGTAAATTTTTGCTTTAAATGACATCTCCTCATAAACCGCTGAGCCAATTTCATCCAAACTTCACAGGAATGTTCCTTTGGTGGTCACCTTTAAAAATTGTTCAAAGAATTTAATTCCATGCAGAACTCTGGTTGCCATGGCAACCGAAAGAAAAATCTTTAAATATCTTCTTTTAAACAACCCTAAGAGCTAGAGCTTAGATATTTGGCATGAAACATCTTCTGATGAGTGTCTACCAAGTTTGTTCAAATAAAAGCCCTGGGGTCAAAATTGGCCCCGCCCCAGGGGTCATAGATTTTCCCTATATGCATATAGTAAAAACTTAAAAAATCTTCTTTTAAAGAACCCAAAGAGCTAGAGCTAAGATATTTGGCCTGAAACATCTTCTAGTGAGTGTCTACTAAGTTTGTTCAAATAAAAGCCCTGGGGTCAAAATTGGCCCCGCCCGGGGGTCATTGATTTTCCCTATATGCATATAGTAAAAACTTAAAAAAATCTTCTTTAAAAGAACTATAACAGCTAGAGCTTAGATATTTGGCATGAAACATCTTTCTAGTGAATGTCTACCAAGTTTGTTCAAATAAAAGCCCTGGGGTCAAAATTGGCCCTGCCCCAGGGGGTCATAGATTTTCCCTATATGCATAAAGTAAAAACTTAAAAAATCTTCTTTACAGAACCCAAAGAGCTAGAGCTAAGATATTAGCATGAAACATCTTCTAGTGAGTGTCTACCAAGTTTGTTCAAATAAAAGCCCTGGGGTCAAAATTGGCCCCGCCCCGGGGGGTCATTGATTTTCCCTATATGCATATAGTAAAAACTTAAAAAATCTTCTTTTAAAGAACCGTAAGAGCTAGAGCTTAGATATTAAGCATGAAACATCTTCTGATGAGTGTCTACCAAGTTTGTTCAAATAAAAGCCCTGGGGTCAAAATTGGCCCCGCCCCAGGGGGTCATTGATTTTTCCCTCTATGCATATAGTAAAAACTTAAAAAATCTACTTTTAAAGAACCCAAAGAGCTAGAGCTAAGATATTTAGCATGAAACATGTTCTGATGGGTGTCTACCAAGTATGTTTAAATAAAAGCCCTGGGGTCAAAACTGGCCCGCCCCGGGGGTCATTGATTTTCCTTATATATGTATAGCAAAAAATTAAAAATCTTCTTTGAAAAAACCCAAATAGCTAGAGTTTAGATATTAAGCATGAAACATCTTTAAGTAAATATCTACAAAGTTTGTTCAAATAAAAGTCCGGGGGTGAAAACTGGCCCTGCCCCAGGGGTGTCATTGTTTTTAACTATATGTGTATAGTAAAAACTTAAAAAATCTTCTTTTAAAAAACTCAATGAGCTAGAACTTAGCATGAAACATCTTCTTATGGGTGTCTACCAAGTCTGTTCAAATAAACAAATAAAAGCTCTTGGGTAAAAATTGGCCCGGGGGGGGGGGGGCTATATACAGGTGAGCGACCTCTTTGATGGCCCTCTTGTTTTTATATTGTGCCTTCCTACACATTTTTTTTATTTAAAAGTTCAGAATAGAATTTTATTGATAATGATCTTTTAAGATATTGTTTCCTATATCTTGCTGTTTAAAACAGTATTACAGTTGCATAGTTTTAATATAAGATCTAAACTCTTGTTAATCTATATAGTACTATTTAAATAAATGTTTGTGAAAAAATTGTTGTTTTTTGTTGTTGTTTTTGTTTTTAACCTATTGGGGCTACCAGTATCATACCCTCATCATCAAGGCTTGAGTTTTGATGCTCACTTTGGATTTGGTTGTGTTTTTGTGAAAAGTTCTTACCTCATTAATTACTTTGAATTTATGTCCACATATGTCTTAGATCTCTATTGTAGGTCACTATTTAATTACCATCTAGAATATTTCTGAATGTGACTCATACCCCGAAGAATGTTCTTTGTAAAAGTGGAGTGGCTCTTGGCGCATGAAAGACACATGAAAAGAAAGAGTCACTGGCCAAAAGAATTCAAATGCAGAATATGTATAGCATGAAAAGATATTGAATCTTCAAATCAACCATAAGTGAATACCACTCTAGTTTTAAGGGAATACCAGTCTTGTTCTGGTTTCAGAGATAATCAGGTGTAATTGTTTATTCCAGAAAATACAGTCAAAAGGGTCACAATCTGGCCGAAATGCAATGAAGAATTTAGAATTTGGCCTTATGAGCTTGCTTGTGACACTTTGTATACATCATAAATTTCATGGTAATACCGTTCCTTGTTTTAAAGACATAGGCAAATAAAATAGGTGTTGCAGCAGGTTCACAAGAATAAGTATATCGTACTCAACAATGTATAATTGCCTCTTTTTGCACACCACTACCGGTAGTTTTTGTTTCAAGAACAGTATATTGATAAGAATTTTTTTTACTTGACTTATAATATCAAATTATGATTTATATTGGAAGATCACATGGTGCATATGTTGGAAGATCATTGGTAATACATTCTGTAAGGTTTGAAATAAATACAGTTATTTATCAGAAAGGGCATTTATATCACATTCTTTTTAAGTGACTAAGCATGGCCATGCATGCATATATTTTGATATGTGGTTAATGCATAAAGTTAAGAAAAAGCATGAAATCTAGGATTTTAACCAGAGCAGTAACAACGAGTTCTGCATATTCTAAAGAAGGTTTGACATTTTACTTGTTTTCCAGAGCATGTCACAAGAAAAGAAAACACAATGCTGATTTTCATGAAGTTTGCATAATTTCCCTATAAAAAATACACAAAAATTGATACTCCAATCTCTCAATAGTTCCAAATATTTGCTAAATCCTGGGAAGGGGGGATGGCAGTCTCTAACCTGCCATCAGAGGATCAGTGCATGATAATAAATTGTAATTATGTCCAAGACTCTTTATTTTGGGTATGTGATGCAAAATTGTTTGCAAGTACTGCTGCCGCCCATATGATTGTTCATTCATCTGAGGCTGCCACATTTTCATTTCTTTCATTTTCTGAAATTCATTTTTTCATATTCTTTCGTGTTTTTCTTTTGTTTACCATTAAAAGATCTGTATAATGAAAGAAAAACATTACATTTGTCAAATCTTAGAGGTTTGTTTGGACTCTTATAAACTGTACATCTGTTAGGAACTTTTGTTATGTCACAAGAAAAACTAAGTTTTCAAATACAAGAATCAAATATCTTTAATACTAAAAATGAAAAGAGAATGCCAATTTAAATTGTGTTACTTATATTAACTAATTTCGGGCGATTATTGTCCCATATGCACATATTTGTTTTACAATACTAAATAAACTCAAATCGTATGTCGATTCAGCAGAGAGCCATTTAAATTGTTTGTTTGTTTGTATGTTTGTTTGTCCGTTTGTGAACAAATATTTAAAGTCGAGTAAAACTGAGTTACAAGAGCCGTCAGGGGCAACGCTCGACTTTTTTTACTTTTTCTTAGAGCAAACATTTTAATAAATGGTTTAAACAAATCTTTAAAAAGAAAATTAAAGAAAAGCAATTATTTTTTTTTACTTTTTTATATTTGATAGGTATGTTTAGTCACACTTGCTGTTTAATCAAAGTATGAATCCTTTCCATAAATAGATCTAAATGACAAAGTAAACAAAATACAATCACAATTCTATCATAGACAGTTAACATCTTAATTATTCCACATGACTGTTTGGTCATAAGTGTTGTTTTGTACACAAATGAATCAAATCAATACATCAATAACAAAATTATGACAACTAAAATTAATAATTTGACCTTGACATTCAAGGTCATTAAAAGCTACCAAGTTTGTTCAAATAAAAGCCCTGGGGTAAAAATTGGTCCGCCCCAGGGGGTCATTTTTTCCCTTTATGTATATAGTAAAAACTTTAAAAAATCTTCTTTTAAAAACCCCAAAGAGCTAGTGCTAAGATATTTAGCATGAAGGGTGTCTACCAAGTTTGTTCAAATAAGGGCCCATGGATTAAAATTGGCTCTGCCCTTGGGGTCATTAATTTTCCTTATAATTATGTGTATAGTAAAAACTTAAAAAATCTTCCTATAAGCTAGAGCATGAAATATCTTCTTCTGAGAGTCTACCAAGTTTGTTCAAATAAAAGCCCTGGTTTGAAATTTGCCTTGGCCCATGGGCCTTTATACAGGTGAGCGAGTTCAGGGCCATCATGGCTCTCTTGTTTTTTACTCTTTTTTTGTCAAAAAAAAATATCAAGCTAGAAATCTAAAAAATAATATTTTTGGTCCTAGGTTAGATCTTATCCCTTTATTTTTTTATTTTTTTTTATATTATGTGCTGCCACAAATTGCAGCTTAACTCCTAAGTTCATTCATACAAAATGTTCCTTTAGAAATACATGTTTCTTATTGGTTTCATATAAAATGAATTCATATTCTACACAGTTACTTCCCTTAGATAGTAAAACGTCACCAATAGTGAAAGCAAGAGAGAAATGAATTGTATCAGAGGGACGGATGTTACATTTTTGGGATGTTAAACTAGATGTTCAAAGCTCATAGTTCATACTTTTTTGGTTTTATTTTAAAGTAATAAAATTTCTAAGAGTAATATCACAGGAACTTGAAATTCTATCAAATAACCAATATTAATGATAATATCCAAATTAGCTTAAGGTCTTCAGCGTACCCGTTTATATACTAGGACATGACGTGATCGCATCTGATGAAAAACAAAAATGTTAAATAGCGGCTTATAAAGTTTTGGAAGCCAGAACTATATCCAAATATACCCCCTATATACTATAAAAAACACTATAGTATATAGGGGGTATATTTGGATATTATCATTAATATTGGTTATATATATTATAATTTATTTGATAGAATTTCAAGTTTCTGTGGTAATATGTTTTGTTTTGTACAATAGGTGTAAAATAATTGGACAAATTAGAATCTATGAGAAAAATGTATAAATATACCCGACAATTAGTGAGTACCTAATTTTTGTGTTTCACAATGAAAAGTTGCAACAACCATTGAATTAGATTTCTTCCAGTTATCTTACATTTGAATAAACATTGAAATGTTTGAAATTAAATAAGAAATAAAACAATTCTTTTTCCCAGAAAATGCATTTGCACTTGCGTTAATCATAATGAAAAAAGTGTTATACCAATGGTACCTTTATATACATGAAATTATTTACAAAATACTATAGTTATAATTATACTGTACCGGTAATAAGATTTATCTTTGTAAAAAATATGATACAGTGTGAAGTAAATTTAAAACATATGCAAGTTTGAATTTCTCATTTCTAATTACACAAATTATAAACAAGTAAAAATATTCATTAAAAAAAAATAAGATTTTAAATTGGTGAAATTAATTTACTGATTTGATGAAATTTTAAGTTTATTTACGTGGAATGTCAGCAACATTCATAATCCAAAGATGTCATTATGATTCAGTGTCATAAGCTCATTATTTCTAACTTTTAATAGTTCTCTGTGTAAATATTTCAGTGTAAATGAACTACTTAACTATGAACTCATTTGTAATTCAATAAAATTGATAGATTCAAATGCGACGGGTTCATTTACAGACAAATTTTCACAATTATCCAACTTTTTCATTACAGGAATCCTAGCCATATCCTTTAAAATACTTCCACTTTATTAATAATAATTAAATGGCTCAAATGGTATGAAAAATTATGCTGGAGTTAGGAAAAAAAATTATTACAGGGTGTTGAATTTTATTTTTTGATTTTTTTTTACATTCAATAAATCTTTTGACTTAATTGTTTTTTATTCAAAATTAAGAAATTTCGTGTTCACAAATAATAATTTTTATACAAATACACAATTTTAATCCTCTATTTCTCTTTATATTTCTTCATTTTTCATTGTAACTTTTGTGTTTCAGCATAAATTCCCTTTTCAGTTACAGTTTATTGCACCTTATATAGGGGGACGGATGTTACGGGGATTGATGTTACAGACAACCTTTTCATTATTGTTATTTTTTCCTCGTAAACAAAGAAATTAACAATTTTTGTAACATTTTCATAGTTTTCATCGGAATGGTTATTAAATTTTCTACGTGCTTGTAAAAAATTTAAGTGATAAGTTTAAACAGATAATAGTGGTGTTCATTCTAAAAACACCAAAAAAAAACAAAAAAAAAACAGATGCTAACACATTACAGGTATAATTGGGCAATTTTAGGGTATAAAAATGTCTGTATCTATATTTTGGGTAATGGTATCATAAAATTTTTTGGGCACATCATTCTGCTTTATAGTAAGTTCTTTGTAAAAACACAAAAAAGTAATTGCAAATGTTATATACATGTATTTATGAAAAGCCTGCATTACATGATTTTTTTAAAAATTGGCCCATTTACTGTGCAGCAGGCAATATGTATGAAACAATCATCATTTTCTAAATGTTCTAGTTTGTTGAAAAAATAAATTCTAAGTTACAAAGTAAAGTTAGTTTTAATATTTATATTAAGCAAAATAATATTTAGAAATTTTAACTGAAATATAAAAAAACTGACGTGTTACAACATTTACTGCAATTTAAATGGTGACATACTGTTTTCTAAATGGCCGACATATGGCCTACGTTTGGCCCCATTTAAACTGATTTTTACTGGATATAGTGTTGTTTCCTTGTGTCATACTGCAGAAAATATCTATATGTTACAGCTCATGACAAAATCCCATAGGACAAAATATAATTGTCCCCCGCCTTTTCGAAGAAAAAAGGGGGATATAGAAATAGGCTCCGTCCGTCCGACCGTCTGTCCGTATGAACCCAGAGGTACTACTGTGACATGGAGAACAATGGGTAAAAGTAAATTCTCTTTGAACCTATTTATTCTGTTTTTACTTGTGTGTCTTTTTTAAGCCTTGTGTGACTAAAAATGGCCAAAAAGATCAAAGGAAAAGTCACATAAGTACCATTTTGTGAGTACGTCCGTCCGTCCGTCACACTTTCGTGTCCGGTCCATAATCCTGTCATTTATCAAAGGAATCTGAAATAACTTGGCACAAATGTATGTTATAATAAGACGATGTGTCATGCGCAACAACCAGACCCTTACCTCCAGGGTCAAGGTCGCACATGCTCATTCAAGGTCAACATTCTCTATTTGAGGGTATATGTCGTGTCCGGTCCATAACTTCCTTATCTTTGAAAGGATTTTGTAAATACTTGCAACAATTGTTTACAATAATGAGACGATGTGTCATGCGCAACAATCGGTCACCTACCTCCATGGTCAATGTCGCACTTGGAGGTCAGAGATTAACATAGTCTGTTACAGGGTATATTTTGTGCCCGGTCCATAACTTTTTCATAGATCAAAGGATTTTGTAAATACTTGCCACAAATAGTCACTACAATAAGACAATGTGTTATGCAAAACACCTGCATCCCAATCTCCAAGTTCAAGGTCACACTTAGAGGTAAAAAAGTAACATAGTCTGTTTTAGGGTATATTTTGTGTCCGATCTAGAACTTCTTTGGGATTTTGAAATTACTAGGCACAAATAGTCACAAAAAAATGATATGTCAAGTACAACACCTGCATCCCTACCTCCAAGGTCAAGGTCACACATAGAGGTCAAAGGTTAACAGACTCTGTTATATGGTGTCCCGTCCATAACTTCTTCATAGATCAAAGGATTTTAAAAATCCTTGGCACAAATAGTCACAATGATGAGATGATATGTCAGGCTCAAAACATGGTTCCTTACATCCAAGGTCACACTTAGAGAACTTCATCATGAAGATTAAAACATTATAATTATTGTAACATTTTATTGTTCTTTATTTTCAGAGTGTCAAACTTCTTTGTAACCATTTACACTGAGGAAAATGGACAGATTATGTGTATTGCTGCTTGTGGGAATGCTTTTTACAGCTAATGGTATGATAAAAGCAGGTGTGAGAATCTGTTTGATACAATATTAAATGTATCAATATAAATCAATTAATCTCTATACGAGTATGTTGACACCTGTAAATGTAGTAATGTTTTTTACAACACACTGCTTTTGCTGCTCGGCCTTTGCTGCTTAGTGTATTCAAAGTACTACAATGAAAACAAGAGTAGCCATATTTAAAGAAAAAAAAACTTGTTCTGGTTTTCCACAGTTGTACTTTATTTATTTGGCAGCAGTTCAAATCAAAAGAGAATCACAGTATTGACCAAATTTTGAATGAGATATTAGTCAAAAGAAAATTTTGATTTTCTTTCTTTGGTTTGTGTATGTTCACATATGTTGAGTATGCGATAAAAGTCAGTAACAGTTTTTCATTCAACTGGATAAGAAAGTGCTATCACCTTGTTCATTTTGAAAAATTATCATTTCAATTTCAGAAGGCAAGAGTACTGAAATAAAAGTTACCTCATCTAATTGCGGTGGTACATATACGTTGAACAGTGATGATTATGTGAAATTCACAGAGGAGCTTTTATATCAGAATGCAAGTTTACTATAAAGATCCAAGATTTCACGGATAATATTTGTTCCTCTGCAGAAATCTTTGATGTGTCTAGCTGTAAAACTACAGTAGAATATCATCAAGGTTCATTTTCATCTTCGTATCCTGATGAAGTAAGTATGTTGGTGAAAAAGTATCTTATTTTGATAAATTCTTTATTTTCCGACCACCCTCCACTACAACTGCTTTAAGTTTAAGTAGCCCCTCAGAATATTTACTTAATTATGTCCTTGCAGTCTTGTTATAAAGTAAAATGTGCCTGATCCTAAGTATAAAATATAACTATTATGGTAAATATAATGAACTGTTAACACCAGTTTAGAGCAGATGCATAGTCTGACCAGAAGAGATACCTGGTTACAAACCATAAGATACCAGTCAAATAGAGCTGTCATCGATAAAGACAATATCGATGTCTCGTTGATGTTTTTCTGTCAATCAATAATCGATACTCTTAAAAAAATCGATAATTTTGAGTATTTAAATAATTGTCTAGAAATTATGAAAATTCACCCAAAACATATACAGAAGCAGGTGTCCATATCTAACATTATGCTGTTGTTATATAGTAGAAATATTTCACAGCAATGATGACAAAAAAATATGGTCTGGAAAAAAATCATGCAATGGGCTTTTATAAACAAGACACTGAACAGAACATGTTTTTTAATTAAAATCTTTTAAACTGGTTTGAAAGTGAATGACAGACAAGCTATCATAGGTAAATATCGATAGATCAAAGTATTGTTGATATTTGTCATCTGATATCCATATAATATTATCATTAATATGCCTTGCACTGAATCAATTAAGCTCTACAGCCAGTTAAACCACTTTATAAGCTTGTATATTAAGCTGGGTAAAACCAAAACACAACTTTTGTAAATTCTTGTTAATAAGAATTAAAATTGTAAAGAACTTTAATGTATAGTAATTAAATGTTTCAGTCTTAAAAGGGTAAATATTATGATGAACATGAATATTAAATTGTTTCATCATGTTTGTGATTTTTATTTCAGACATACAGTTGCACAAATAGTCAATGGTCTGATTACTGCACATCATTTTCAGCTTTGACTATCGTATTCAGTAGTACAGGAATGTGGTTAAATACTGATGATATAGAGTTGAAAGTTTACAGCAAGGGAAACGGTATGATATTGAATTTATTGAATATGAATTATTTTAACTTTATTTTGTAGAATTCAATGCAAACTGATGAGCTACAAATAATTCAAATGACAAATAAATCAAATATTTAAGTCAGTTATATTAACTTACTCTGCCTTCCTCTCTTTTGTTTGCTTGGACTGCTATAATTTAATATGGTTTATCGACTTCAAGCCATCACTTACAAGTTTCTATGTATTAAGATTGCAATGGACTCTGAATTCTTTCATGTGACTTAGCTTTATGACCTTTATGGTGTCAAGTTTGGCTTAAGTCCAACAGGACATAATCATCGAATTTTACATTTTTGATTGTTTCAGAGATAGTTGATGCAGTAGTTACAAGTGTGTATGTGATAATTGGTGTGATAGTGGGGATTGTTGTGCTAGTCATCATCATAACTATAGTTGTTATATTTGTCTGTTGCCGTCGACGACGCAACCAGGCTGGTACCGTGTACAGGTCACCACAAGCTGCAGCTGTAACAACAACAACTACAGGTTGTTATAATATTTATAACATCTGTATCTTAATTTTATTATTTTCGTAAGACCAGGTCAATAAATGTTTCTTTGAGATGGTTTCTACATTTATCAGGTATCAAAGCAGCATAGTAAGAAATGCTTCATTTTATAAATGAAAATTAGGAAGTGTCTCAAACACAGTTTCCGATGTTCAACTGTCATTTAATCTACGCATATAAAATATAAAACATATAAAATTCACAAAAAATATTATGAGTGCTGAAATGTGTAAAAATGGTCCCTAGTTCATCAATAGGGGGGTAGAAAAAAGGTGATTATTTGTTAATACAGTCATTGCTTATATTGAACATGTAAAGTACACATATATTGTGTATAAATGGACTTATCTTAAACTTTTCTTATAGGCTTATAAATGTTTATTATTTTTTCTTTTTATTCACTTGGAAGCATACAACTTTTGATATAAATGTATAAAACTATAAATAAAACATGCACTGATTAAAAATAATGAAATATATGGACAAAACATCGTCATGGAAGGAAATGTAAGTAATCTATAATTTTTGATATAAATATAATATGTAATAGAAAGAGCATCAAAACACGAGGCCATCTGTTTTGTATGAGGGGGTATAGCCCCCGAGTATTAATCAAATTGCTGATTGTTTTGATGTTCTTTCCCTTTTTTGTATCATAGTCAAACATAATACATGTTCCCTTTTGTCACAATATTTAACCCCAGAAAAAAAGTAACCACTGAACAAGCATCTGAATATGATATTTCTATCACTTTCCATTTCACTGTCGTCAGTCACAATAAGTAAACCCCAGCAAAAATGAGCCAATCAATGGGCATGCTCTGGAATACGGGTAACTAATACCTGCACTCCAGTGAACGCACTGTGCATGTATATGTATACGATTTAACTCTGACATATTTTCAACATAAAGGTCTCCAAACTATGATACAATATAAAGATGTTAAACTTCAAACTTTAAAAAAAAAATTTGATTTAAGAATGTCTTATTAGATTGCTTGCTGAAGGGGTTTGTATAGTGACAAGTATCTATCTCTATATTTGAAATTATAAAACCTTTTCAATACATGTTTTTGAAGGATATCCAATGCAAAATCAACCTGGTTACCAGCCTGTCCAACCAGCTTATCAACCTGGGTACCAACCAAAACCTGAGTACCAACCACAACCTGGGTACCAGCCACAACCTGGATTCCAGCCACCTGCACAACAGACAGGATATCCTCCTGCACCACAACAGGGATATGCAGGGTACCAGACAAATCCTGATCCAGGGTTGTATCCTGAAAAAGCTTCAGGTTTGTTATACACTATGCTAACTTATTACCAAAATATATAACTATAACTACAAAAAAACATATACCAAATTAAAGCTATTACCAGAATGTAGCTTACTAGAATATAGCTGTTACTACAATAAAGCTATCCACAATATAGCTATTACTACAATATAGCTATTACTATAATATACATGTAACTATTATCACAATATAGCTTTTATTACAATATAGCTATTATGTACAATATAGCTATTATGACAATGTTACTATTACCAGATTAAAGCCATAACTAAAATTTAGCTATGACCACAATTTAGATATTACCACAATATAGCAATGTAGCTTTTACTACACTATAACTATTACTACAATATACATTAGCTATTACTACAATAATGCTATTTACACAATATAACTATTTCGACGAAATACATGTAGCTACATGTATTCCTACAATATAGCACTGTAGCTTCTACTTCAATATAACTATTACCACAATGTAACTTTTAACCACAATAGAGCTATTTCTACAATATAGCTATAACTGCAATATAACTATTACTACAACAAAGCTTTTATTACAATATAATTATTACTACAATATAACTATTACTACAATATAACTATTACCACAATACATGTATACCCTATACTTACATGTAGTACCAGAATATCCTTATCATTTTGATAAACTAATATACATGTACTAGAAATTGTGCAAGTATTGATAGAAAACCATATGGTTAAATCAATTATAATAGTTCATTAACTTTATTAGTTGGTAGATTGTATCATTGTATCATTTGAACAAATTTTACTGAATTCTAGAATTTTTATTTTTAATTTTTAATTGGGGGGGGGGGGATTTGTAGCCAAATTATAACAAACTTTGCAATATAGCATCCTACAATCTGATAATAATGGACATGCAGTCATTTTTATGAGTAAATTAATTTGTTTACAGGGCCAATCTATTACAAAAAATTCAGCAGGGTTAGGATGAAATATTAAAAAAAAATATTATGTTTAAAATATTAATGATATCTGTCATGGTATGAATCGGAATATCCATCCCGAGGTTACCCGTCCATTTGGGTGGTGTGGGGAGTAATGAGGCTTGCCACGTTGCGGCCCATTGGCTGATACCCAAGTTCATTTATAAAATGCGATAAAGTGGCATCTTTGTATAGCACGAGATTCATCTTGCAGCCCCCCCCCCCCCCATGTCAGATGAATTTTTTACATTGATAAAACTAATGTAAACACCAATATGATATGCAAGAATAGATAATATAAAACTGCTTTACTGAACTGACACAACAAAGTAGTTATTTTGATATGTGAATCACATAATAATCTGTGCCCAAAATTGCTCTTTAATTAGGAAACTAATCAACTTGCTAGAATGAATTGTTATTAGTTCTTATGGGCCCCTTCATTCCTGAAAATATGATGAATGATTTCAAGGCTGTCCACTTGTAAAACTGTAACATAACTTGTTATTCAACTTCAGTTTTGTCTGAGTGACTATTAAACCCAACAAAATAACAAAGTGATCATGATGAATTTTTGTTTTAATTTTTCAGCACCACCTATGCAGCCTCCACCTTATCCTGGTAACTAAGGAGCTTATCACCATGGCAACTGTACAGAGTAGAATTAGAATTGATTCTGTGTTCTACATGATCTTTTGATTATTTTGAATTGTATTACATTAAAAACTGTATATATTTGAGTATGTCAATAGTTTCATATTCATAGTAATCATGTATGACAAAGTTTATGAGGTATTTATTCAGGTCTCTTATTGAGTTGTCCGTCTGGCCAAGTTCTTTTGAAAAGTACTTGTCCTGATCTAGAGCATACATTCTGATCTAAAACATGGAAGGGATTAAATTTTTCCTTATTAAGTTTAATAAGCAAAGTTTAAAATATCATCAATCATATTTTCCACTTAGTCCACATGAAATGCAAGTTGTTTTCTAAGAAGAACACTACATGAATTCTTTATTTTCTAAGGAAGAATGCTAAATATAGCCTCTGATCTTGCATAAGTACAATGCAAATAAAACTTGTTAAACATTCAGACATATCATCTCTTGTTACTTTTGATACATGTACTATTACAAAAGATTTATATAGCACTAACACATGAAAGTAATTACCTGTGACTATATGTTATGATAGAATTCTTCAGTATTAAAACTGACTATATATTATGATAGAATTCTTCAGTATTAAAACTGACTATATATTATGATAGAATTATTCAGTATTAAAACTACCAGTTAAAGTACCAGCTGTGACTTTAGGCAAACAATTGAGCATGTCTTGTTTTTTAGCTCACCTGTCACAAAGTGACAGGGTGAGCTTTTGTGATCGCTTTTCGTCCGGCGTCCGTCCGTCCGGCGTCCGGCCGGCGTCCGTAAACTTTTACTTTAAATGACATCTCCTCATAAACCACTAAGCCAATTTCATCCAAACTTCACAGGAATGTCCCTTTGGTGGTAACCTTTGAAAATTGTTCAAAGAATTTAATTCCATGCAGAACTCTGGTTGCCATGGCAACCAAACGAAAAAACTTAAAATATCTTCTTCTAAAAAATCCAAAAAGCAAGAGCTTAGATATTTGGCATGAAACATCTTCTAGTGAGTGTCTACCAAGTTTGTTCAAATAAAAGCCCTTGGGTCAAAATTGACCCCGCCCCAGGGTGGTTCTTGATTTTCCCTATATGCATATAGTAAAAACTTAAAAAATCTTCTATTTAAGAACCCAAGGAGCTAGAACTATGATATTTAGCATAAAACATGTTCTAATGTGTGTCTACCAAGTTTGTTCAAATAAAAGCCCTGGGGTCAAAATTGGCCCCGCCCCAGGGGGTCATTGATTTTCCCTATATGCATAAGGTAAAAGCTTTAAAAATCTTCTTTTAAAGAACCAAAAGAGCTAGAGCTAAGATATTTAGCATGAAACATCTTCTAATAGATGTCTACCAAGATTGTTCAAATAAAAGCCCTGGGGTCAAAATTGGCCCTGCCCCAGGGGGTCATTGATTTTCCCTATATACATATAGTAAAAACTTAAAAAATCTTCTTTTAAAGAATCAAAAGAGCTAGAGCTAAGATATTTAGCATGAAACATCTTCTAATGGATGTCTACCAAGTTGGTTCAAATAAAAGCCCTGGGGTCAAAATTGGCCCAACCCCGGAGGTCATTCATTTTCCCTATATGTGTAAAACTATAGCAAAAATTGAAAAATCTTCTTTGAAAAAACTCAAATAGCAAGAGTTTAGATATTTAGCACGAAGCATCTTCTAGTAAGTGTCTTCAAAGTTTGTTCAAATAAAAGCCCTGGTGTCAAAATTGGCCCCGCCCCGGGGGACATTGATTTTCCTTATACGAGTATAGCAAAAACTTAAAAATCTTTTTTTTAAAAAACCCGAATAGCTAGAGTTTAGATATTAAGCATGAAACATTTTCTAGTAAGTGTCTACAAAGATTGTTCAAATAAAAGCCCTTTGGTCAAAACTGGCCATGCCCCAGGTGTGTCATTGTTTTTAACTATATGTGTAAAGAAAAACTTTGAAAAATCTGTTTTTAAAAATCCCAACGAGCTTGACCTTTAGATGTTTAGCATGAAACATCTTCTAATGGTTGTCTACAAAGTTTGTTCAAATAAAAGCCCCGGGCTTTAAACTGGCCCTGCTCCGGGGGCCTATGTACAGGTGAGCGACTTCAGGGCCATCATGGCCCTCTTGTTTGCCAGACTTAATTAATTGATAGCACCAGAAAAAGAGAATACCAAATTTACACAATATTTTCTTAATGTTTTTCTGTATGACCTTTCTGATAAGACATTTCTAGTATATTTTATTAATGGTAGTATATAGTATTAATTGTTAATCTTATACTCTAAGTATTAGATGAATTTGCATGCTATCAGTCATGTTTGTATTTACTTGTCCAATATAAAGAAAGGTTTTAAGACCACACTTACCAAGACCAAGCTTTTAGTCATCTCTTGGTAATCATTTTATTTGAGCCATGAAAACTTTAAATGATACATTCTTATATGAAGCTATGAGTAGAAATGCAACTGTTCTTAGTTTCTCACAGAGTATGACACAAAGACAGGAGTTTACTTCTAAAACTGTTAAATTAATGTCAGAATTCAATTTTGGATCAAAGAAAGGGATTACTAGGATGGATTGATATGCTATTTGTTCTACCTTCTCAAAACTTTAAAAAATTTATTGCAGTTCAAAATAATGAAAATATTCAAAAAGCTGAAATATGTGAGATGTTTTATTTTGATAATCAAGAATAAATACTGGGATCCTACATATTACCGGACAAAATATGAAAATTTTTATCTGTAACTTTTATTAAAGATAATAAAAAAGAATTAAATTTTACCCAATTAATTTTGGGTTCTTATTTCACATAAACATTCCTTTATTAAACATAAAATTAAACATTTGACCGTAGAAATGAGTCTTTAAAGTAGGGCATTATAAGAGGGAAAAAATCGTGTAGACTAATCAATTTACCGGACATTGTGTTTCAAAACCTTTTGAAGTCGTGAATTCAAATGAATCCTTAAATAATCGGGAAGGAATCCACGACTACTGAATGGCAAGAATAAGATTTTTGAAAACCAAGTATGTCACTAGAAATAGACACGGCAGCCATGCCTGTTATGAAGAGGCCAATATAGGGGTGAAATTGAAATTAACACTATTAACTCATTTAACGTATTGATTCTTCATGAACCTTAAACGTATGAAACATTTTGATATTCAAATGGAATTCTGTTCTTTGTCATACAGTTTCCTTTTGGTCATCATGTGGCATGTTACAAAAGCCATCAAATCTATTTTATTTACATTTCATGTAGAGTTTCCTCCAGTGACCGTAACCCGTTTCCTTATATGTTTTTTAATCTGCACTTCTTTGTAAAAGACAACAACGAGATACTGTTTGGACTGAATTTAAAATTACTTTTTATCATTAAAATATGTTACGATTGTCTCTTAACGTAACGCTGAGAAGAATTAAAAGTAAAACCAATCTAAAATAACCCATTAAGGGTCTCGATATTCGGGCCTGCGCAGAACAGATTATTCCCCCACATGACCGGGTCATGAAATAACTAGTAAACAAAAGGGCATGTTAGTAGATAAAGAACTGAATCAACAATAATTACCTGAGAGTAGTTTTGTTGTTATTTACTTTGAAATAGATAGTGTGTGTACGATTCATACTGTATAATTTTTTAATCGAAGCAAACAGTAAAGCACTATTCGGCAGTAATAGCTTTTGTCCAGTAAACTGATTGTCTGGTAAATATGTAGGATCCCAGTACAGTATATTTTCACTCTTATGATTTTACAAAGAAACAATTACAAATTATCGGAAAAGTGTTTGTAATGTTGTTGTTGTTTGTTGATACTGTATGTGATATTGAGACATATGTAAATTTGTAAATAATGTATCGTAGCAATATGATTATAAATTTTTCATTATATTCAATTTAGCTTGACTTTTATAATAGAGTGGGTTACTCTACTCACTCTGGCATCTGTTTCAGTGTCATTTTTTTGTTTGTTTAAGTTTCTTACCACCCAACTCTTTTCTATACCTTTTAAGGTAATGCTTTGAAACTTTGAAATGTTGTGTAAGAACCTCATTTTCATGGTTAGGAAACTACCCGCCTATATGACTGAAATACTGTTGGGAAAAGGCGTGAAATGAAACAAACAAACAAACAAACAAAACTTCTAGGCAAAAGACAGGATTTTATGTATTTTTTATTTAATTTTAGACTTGTAAGGAAAATTTCAGTTTAGTTTATCAAACCGCACCTCTTTGTCTATATCTATTGATGTTTTGCTTTCAAACTGACAATACTTGTTCAGTAATTGGCAAAAGGATATAACTCCCATCAAGAATTTTAACAAAATCATGTCCCTTTTACTGGCAAAAACTTGGGTACTACCCCAGTGTTTTACTATAACCTTTAAGGTATAATAAATATAAAATAAATCCTTCTTTTGTCCCCTTTTCTTTGTAATATAGTATTTACCTTCACTGGATTTATTTAATTGACCTGTCATTTTGCACTTTCAAGTACATGTACTTGTGTACTTGTAAAAAGTCGAGTGTACTGTTTTTAAGACAGCTTATTATGACCCTGTTACATACAATCCTCACTTTATGTCATCTCAGATAATTGTTTCTGTAAGTTTATTCAAAAGAGAGGCTCTTTTCTTAAATTTCTGCATGATTTCATGGTTTTGGCATACTCATTATTTGTTTGTTTTGAATTTCTAAAAAAAGAAATTAGGATTAAATTTAATTCAACAAATGTTAAGATTTGTTTTTAAAATTTTTTTTGCTGTTTATTGTAAAACTATTAATTTATCACTCAAAATGGCTGTGTATGTTACACACCAATAATAGTTAAATGGCTAATTGTCATATGTTTAAGTCATTTTTTTTTCATTACTGTTGAAAGTTAGCTTTGATATCATGTAATGGCTGTGGGGTTTTTTTTATCATTATATTTTTACTCTTATTTAAGGGATGATATTTGTCGTTTTAGCTTACATGCATTTGCTTTCAATTTTGTGTAATTATTTAAAGATGATTAAAATGATATTTTTAATGGTAAAATAGCAAAGGTATATGTATGGTATCAATATTTTTAGATATTGTATAAAACATGTCTCTAATTTTGTTCCATTTGTTTTGTTCTTTCAAGTTTTTTTTTTAATGTAAATTGAGGAGGCTTAAAATATCATAATTGATAATTTCAAATAATAAAAGTAGAAAGATTGTTGTACAAAGTGCCAGTCATTCAAATGACTCATTTACATTTCAAAGCTGTTTTTTTTGTTATTTAGCTCAGGGTGAGCTTTTGTGATCGCTTTTCGTCCGGCGTCCGTCCGTCGTCCGTCCGTAAACTTTTACTTTAAATGACATCTCCTCATAAACCATTGAGCCAATTTCATCATAACTTCACAGGAATGTTCCTGTGGTGGTCACCTTAAAAAATTGTTCAAAGAATTTAATTTCATGCAGAACTCTGGTTGCCATGGCAACCAATAGAAAACACTTTAAATATCTTCTTTTAAAAAACCCAAAGCGGTAGAGCTTAGATATTTGGCATGAAACATCTTCTAATGGGTGTCTACCAAGTTTGTTCAAATAAAAGCCCTGGGGTCAAAATTGGCCCCGCCCCAGGGGGTCATTGGTTTTCCCTATATGCATATAGTAAAAACTTATAAAATCTTCTTTTAAAGAACCCAAAGAGCTAGAGCTAAGATATTTAGCATGAAACATCTTCTAATGAGTGTCTATCAAGTTTGTTCAAATAAAAGCCCTGGGGTCAAATTGGCCCCGCCCCAGGGGGTCATTGATTTTCCCTATATGCATATAGTAAAAACTTGTAAAATCTTCTTTTAAAGAACCCAAAGAGCTAGAGCTAAGATATTGAGCATAAAACATGTTCTAATGGGTGTCTACCAAATTTGTTCAAATAAGAGCCCTGGGGTTAAAATTTGCCCTGCCCCGGGGGTCATTGATTTTCCTTATATGTGAAAAGCAAAAACTTTAAATTAAAAATTCTTTGAAAAAAAACTAAAAAGCTAGAGTTTAGATACTAAGCATGAAACATCTTCTAGTGAGTGTCTACAAAGTTTTTTCAAATAAAAGTCCTTGGGTCAAAATTGGCCCTGCCCTGGGGTTCATTGATTTTATTTATGTGTATAGCAAAAACTTATAAAATCTTCTTTGAAAAAACCCAAATAGCTAGAGTTAAGATATTTAGCATCAAACATCTTCCAGTTAGTGTCTTCAAAGTTTGTTCAAATAAAGCCCTAGGGTCAAAATTGGCCCTGCCCTGGGGAACATTGATTTTCCTTATATGTGTATAGCAAAAACTTAAAAATCTTCTTTAAAAAAAACCCGAAAAACTAGAGTTTAGATATCAAGCATGAAACATCTTCTAGTGAGTGTCTCCAAAGTGTGTTCAAATAAAAGCCCTGGGGTCAAAACTGGCCCCTCCCTAGGGGTGTCATTGCTTTTAACTATATGTGTATAGTTTAAACTTAAAAAATCTTTTTCTAAAAAACTCAACGAGCTAGACCTTAGATGTTTAGCGTGAAATATCTTCTAATGGGTGTCTATCAAGTTTGTTCAAATAAAAGCCCTGGGGTTTAAACTGGCCCTGCTCTGGGGGCCTATATACAGGTGAGCGACTTCAGGGCCATCATGGCCCTCTTGTTTTTTGTTGCTGTTGTTGTTTTTTTTCCTTTTTTTCTTTTTTCAATGAATAGTTCTAATAAAGAGACTACGCACAATAATACATTTCAAGAGACAGATTATTACTGGTAAATACTCAAAGAAATAATATACAAAGATGGATACTCACCTCTTCTATAGTGCCTGGTGTATTAACTGGATTTTGTGGCATTTCAGTAAATGCAGTTGACTTAAGATTTATATATGCACGTCTCCCTGCTTAGTTCAATAGGGAGTGCACTTGATATGTAATTTGAGAGTTGTGGTTTGATCCTTTGTGTGGCCACTATAAATCTCAAATTGGTAATTACTGGTTAGTTATACAGGAAAGACAGATAGGTTGACTGCCTACAGAGATATGACCAAACAAGTGTTAAAATGTGCATATTTAACCAAACAAACGGTTTATGTATTTATTAGCATATTAATTCTTGTAGTTAAATAGCATGCAAGACATATATTAGCTACACGAATATAAAAATTTGATTTGACAGGGGTAAGTGCCTTGGCTTAAAGATTGAGAGATCTATTGAGAGAAATACAACCAAAGATGAAAATTGCAGATTAAATGTGTCTTTGAACTGATTAGTCTTAATGTGCTTTTTTTTTAGCTTATATAAGCATAATTGTTTCAATGATACTCATAGAGGGTGAATTTTTTAGTAAACGTTTTTACTGTTTCTGTGTTAATTAACCTGGATTTTATTATGCCCCCACTTCAAAGAAGAGGGTATATTGCTTTGCACTTGTTGGTCCGTCAGTCCTTAGACCAAATGGTTTCCGAGTGATAACTAAAGAACCCTTAGGCCTAGGAACTTCAAACTTGGTATGGTGATTGGTCATGACCAGTAGATGACCCCTATTGATTATGGGGTCAAGGAGTCAAAGGTCAAGGTCACATTGACCTTGTAAGCAAAAACGGTTTCCGAGCAATTACTAAAGAACCTTAAGGCCAAGGAACTTCAAACTTGATATGGTGATTGGTCATGATCAATAGATGACCCCTATTGATTTTGGGGTCAATGGGTCAAAGATCAAGGTCACATTGAACTCTTGGGTAAAAATGGTTTCCGATCAATAACTAAAGAACCCTTAGGCCTTGGAACTTCAAACTTGATATGGTGGTTGGTCATGATCAGTAGATGACCCCTATTGATTTTGGGGTCAAAGGTCAAAGGTCAAGGTCACATTGAACTCTTGAGTAAAAATGGTTTCCGATCAATAACTGAAGAACCCTTAGGCCTAGGAACTTCAAACTCAGTATGGTGATTGGTCATGACCAGTAGATGACCCCTATTGATTTTGGGGTCAAGGGGTCAAAGGTCAAGGTCACATTGACTTTGTAAGCAAAAACGGTTTCCGAGCAATAACTAAAGAACCTTAAGGCCTAGGAACTTCAAACTTGATATGGTGATTGGTCATGATCAGTAGATGACCCCTATTGATTTTGGGGTCAAAGGTCAAGGTCACATTGAACTCTTGGGTAAAAATGGTTTCCGATCAATAACTAAAGAACCCTTAGGCCTAGGAACTTCAAACTTGATATGGTGGTTGGTCATGATCAGTAGATGACCCCTATTGATTTTGGGGTCAATGGAACAAAGGTCAAGGTCACATTCAACTCTTGAGTAAAAATGGTTTCCGATCAATAACTAAAGAACCCTTAGGCCTAGGAACTTCAAACTCGGTATGGTGATTGGTCATTTCCAGCAGATGACCCCTATTGATTTTGGGGTCAAGGGGTCAAGGTCACATTGACCTTGTAGGTAAAAAAAAATTCTGATAAACAACTAAAGAACGCTTAGGCCTAGGAACTTCAAACTTTGTATGATGATTGGTCATGACCAGTAGATGACCCCTATTGATTTTGGGGTCAAGGGGTCAATGTCATATTGACCTTGTACTTAATGACTAGGGCTGGGGCGAGTATCCGAGTACTCGGATAATCACGAATCAAAGTGAAAAATCGAGTTTTAATTATTCGTAACCCCACAGATCGTGGATCGCGATCTTATTTGTTTATATACATTCACTGTTTATCACACTCTAAAAGTCAAGAAAAATACGATTTGAGTATAAATAAAGGGAAGTTTACCTAAATACAATTTGCCCGTTAAAGACCATGTATCATGATGCTGAGCTAGGAAGTAATTGGTTAAAAAAACAACAAAAAAACTACTAATCCAAAGAATAAAAACATAAACCTAATTTATATTTGCATATATGTTTAATGTTTAGTATTGTGTTTTTTTTAATAAACATGTTTTAGAACTAATGTAAATGTTATTATAACTATGGGTGTCTTGATAACAAAAGAATTGTGGTTCGATTTGAGAATCGTAAGTGCTGAATCGTGGTTCTGATCGGATTGTCACTTATCCGACGATCTACATCCCTATTAATGACGGTTTCTGACCAATAACTCAACAACTCAAGTTGCCTTGGTTGATATTTTTATATTAAACTAAAAATGCTTTTGGTATACACATTTGAAGGTCTTATGTAGTATAACAACTTGGGTGTCATTAATGAGCCCTACATGATTCATAAAATTTATGCATATATTATTTGGTAAGATTTGTAATAACTTAAATTGCTTCACACAACCTATGGGGTCACAATAATTATTACCTTGTGACTAGTCATGACCAGTAGATACTAGATAACCCTTATTAATTGTTTGTTCACTGGGTCAGAAGTCATGCATAATAACCTGATCACATGACTAATTGGCTGCCGATAGGGGGCATACATGTTTTACAAACATATCTTGTTTAATCTTGCATTATACACTTTTTGCTTATCACTGTAAGGTTTGCCTTCATTTTGTAAATTACATAAATTTTGTTAATGTATATTTTGATTACTTATATTGTTTATTTGTCTAGGATCTACTTTATTAACTTAAATATCTCACTTTAAATTTATAGGTTTTTTAAACAGTTCCATGCTTCTATTTTTGTATATAATTGAATATTATTGTGCTTGTTTAAAAGTTGTTTTCAACTCTTCAAACTTACATTCATCTTGAAGGATATTTTTAATATTTAATGAAAAATTATTAGAAATGCTTTCTTTATATACCTTACAGATATAATATGTAGCCTTTTGGTCCCCGTCCTCCGCTCTTTACATGTTCTTTAATAAATTACAATTTGTGGATTTATCAGATACATGCAAACATCAATTAACAAGCCACACAAAATATTGCATGCAATCTAAACAGCATTCAAGTTTTGCTTGACATTTCAGACTACACTCATTAGTTCAGTGTATGGAGAATTGCTAGACTTTCATGATTCTTTCTGAATTACTGTAATGATCTGATAAGAGCTTTACAACATCTGTATAGTTGATACTACATAAAATTAACTTTTATAACTTTTTTAGAACAATGTTTTCATTAGGCAGTTTAAAAATTAAGCAATTTGAAATTTCTGTTTTTTGTCCATGTCTATTTAGTTATAAATGTCTATAATAAAACTGGAAGATATGTCATTTGAGCCGCATCCGCGCAGTCTGATCAGGATCAATGCTGTTTGTTATCAGTTTCTCTACTTGTTATAGGGTTTGTAAGCGAACAGCATGGATCCTGATCAGACTGAGCGGATGCACAGGCTGGTCTGGATCCATGCTGGTTGCAAACCCATTATGTTGGTTCTGTCCTCACGCGGCTCATTTTAATTGAGGAAAAAACAATGAATGAACTCAACTTTGTATGTGTACGGTTTGTTAAAATTTGTTTCTAATGAATTTGAAATAACTCGTAAAATTGAAAACATATACTCTTTGTAGAACTTCAACTTAATAATGCTATAATTTATTACTGTTATGGAAAATTTTGCAGGTAATTTTTATAAGTAATATTTTTGTATGACAAAAATTTTTAAAGTGAAAATGGGATGTATTGAAATAATTGTACGTGTATGTGTGTTTCTAATGATTTTTTTTCCCTTTTATTCATAAATTTTACTTATTCATAATTTTTTTTACATGAGCTAGTTCTCAGTCATTTAAATGTGAACTCACAATTGTTATCATAATTGTTGAATGCTTAGTAGATGACCTGGTAATAGATAAATGTTTCTTTTCTACCCAAGTTTATCTCAAATATTTCTTTTGGATTAATTATAAATGAAATAAAATGTAAAGATAATATTAAAATCACAGAAAACAATAAAAGCTATTTGCAGTTTTATGTAAAAATAAATTCAGAAATTGTCAAATGAAATTATAATATATGGTAATATGGAAAAAGAACAACAGGTTTAAATGCATATTAGATAGCAGAGTTGTATGTTAATTGTTGAAGTTTAATACCAAACAGTCATTACTTGATAACATAAGGAGCAAAATAGCACATAATATTGGTGCAATTTATTGAAACTCATAGCATTTGATACAGGGTTGTTCCAGCAGTGTTACTTGTGTTACAGTCATTTTAAGTGAAATATATATTTTAGGCAAAGTTGGTGTTGAAACAAATGCCAAATGTTTCAAAAAGTTTCTTGTATCTAAGTACCAAGAAATTAATTATAAGAGTATTAGCCTCTCGTGTGATATTAGCACAAATCCTGATAAAATTATTACAGGTATAGACTCGGGGGGAAAATAAGATGGTCTCAAAGCAATTTTTGAACTTACATTACATGAAATAGTTTGCCTATTTACAGGATTTGTAAATGTTGTTATTCAGAACTGGCTAATTAAGCCTGAGTTAGAGTATTATTATCAAGCTACATCATCGATGATATGTTACAGTTGTTTCTTTTAGATATTTCTGTCTTTAATTACTTATGTTTGTGTTGTTGTTTTTTGTTTCAGCAGAATTTTGATACTGCATGTATATCAGTAAGCAGGTTTCTTCTTGATGTAGTTTTGATTTTTAAAATTGACCTAAAGATTAGTTAAATATATGTGGTATTTACCTGAAATACAGGCTTTATATACTGCTGAAAGTACTCTTTTACTATATAAAACCAATTAGAATAATGCTAAATTCAGGGTTTTCTTGTTTTCAGAAATTTTGAACTGGCATTCATGTAAATACTCATAAATTTGTTTCATGAAATGTTTTATAATTTGTAATAATAATGTGCGTAATTTCTAAGATGGGTGACAGTGATTTTTTTAAGAAAGCCTTGGATGGATCACCGGCCAATAATGTTTTGTTTTACAATAATGATTAACATAATAAAGTTAGAGGGCTGTTCAATATGTAATGTGTATTGTACTATATCTTAAAAGCATTCAAATAAACATTATATCCCTCCAAAATATTATTCATGGTTTGAAATACATAATTGTAATCTTTGAATCCATTTATGACATTTGTCATGGTATGCTGATTTAAGCAGACCTATGTGGCACTGACTGATAGCGATGTCACTTGCCTTGCTTTCTGCATCTTAACCTTTTACCCCATGAGCATATTGCGAAAAATGGCCATTTTCACTGAAAAGCATCCTGTAACATTTTAGTTCAAACTGCTATGAAAGTATGAAAAATGCTTCAATACTAATGAAACTTGGCACAAATGTTAACTACAGCATAACCTCTGTAACAGCATGCTCAATGGTAAATTTCCTGTTACCATGGCAACGGGGGACGTCTCAAAATTGCCAAAAATCACTATTTTGTATTGTTTTTTTCCATCAAAACTGATTTCAAAGTGCTGCAACTTCAAAATGAATTGAGATAGAGTAAAAGGCTTTTCTGCGTCAGTTACTAGCTACCCTAAGATCGACCTGAGGCCATTTTAGCGTGTCACATGTCCAAAATTTTCTTGGAGATTAGGGGGACTCCGCCCCCCCCCCCTCTTCAACCCCCCCAAACAGAAGGGGGCACATCCTCAACATTTCTCAAACGAAAAACAGTGTTTGGGGCCTAAATAGGGAATTTTTTCACTGTTTACCTTTTACCCCATGAGGATATTGCGAAAAATGGCCATTTTCACTAAAAAGCCTCCTGACTGCTATGAAAGTATGAAAAATACTTCAAAAATACTAATGAAACTTGGCACAAATGTTGACTACACCATAACCTCTGTAACAGCATGCTCAATGGTAAATTTCCTGTTACCATGGCAACGGGGGGACGTCTCAAATTTGCCAAAAATCACTATTTTGTATTGTTTTTTTCCATCAAAACTGATTTCAAAGTGCTGCAACTTCTCAATGAATTGAGATAGAGTAAAAGGCTTTTCAGCGTCGGTTACTAGCTACCCTGAGATCGACCTGAGGCGATTTTTAGCCTGTCACATGTCCAAAATTTTCTTGGAGATGAGGGGGACTCCGCCCCCTCCAAACTCCCTAAAAAGAAGGGGGAACATCCCCCTTCTGGCAACCCCCTGATGTAATATTTGGATGGGGGACGGCGCCGAAAAAGTGGTCACTTTTTTGAACAACATTTCTCAAACGAAAATCAGTGTTTGGGGCCTAAATAGGGAATTTTTTCACTGTTTGAGGCCTCAAAAGGGGGGGGGCAAAAAGCAGTCGAAACAAGCTTATATATGGGAAAAGGTTAAATGGAGGGTATGCCAGTCAAAAACTACAAATTGTCTCATTAGATACCTTATCAGATCACTAAACTTCCCTCAATTAAGTAAATCTCTGCTTTACTGAATGGCCGTTTTTTATGCTCCCCGAAAAATTTCGGGGGAGCATATAGTCGGCGCCTTGTCCGTCTGTCCGTCCGTCCGTCCGTCTGTCCGTCAGTTTTCTTGTCCGGAGCATAACTTGAAAACCCTTGGAGATAATTTGTTTAAACTTCATACAGTGGTAGAGGGCATTGAGGGGGAGTGCAGTGTCAAAGAACCATAACTCTATTTTGCCCGGTTTTTGAATTATCTCCCCTTATAGAAAAATCTTGTCCGGGGCATAACTCTAAAACTATAAGAAATATCAACATGAAACTTTGTAGGTGAATAGATCTGAAAGGGTAAATATGCAGTGCATAACAATAACTCTTTTTGTCCTTATTTTGGAGTTATTGCCCTTTGTTAATTTTAACAATTTGAACTTTGTCCAGAAAATAACTCTTAAACTGTAAGAGATATCAAGATAAAACATTATAGGAAGATAGATCTCGTTGAGTAGAAGTGAAGTGCAAAAGAACAATAACTCTGTTAAGCCTCATTTTTGAATTATCTCCCCTTTAAGAAAAATCTTGTACTGGACATAGCTCTAAAACTACAAGAGATATCAACATGAAACTTTGTAGGTGAATAGATCTCAATGGGTAGATGTGCAGTGTCAAAGAGATATTTTCAACATGAAACTTTGTAGGTAGATGTATCTTCTTAATGGGTAGATGTGCAGTGCACGAGAATCATAACTCTGTTTTGCCTAATTCTGGAGTTATTGCCCTTTGTTTATTTTTACTTTTTGAAGTTGTCCGGAACATAACTCGGAAACCATAAGAGATATCAACAAGAAACTTGGTAAGTTGATAGATAACAGTGATTAGAAGTGCAGTGCAAAGAACAGTAACTCTGCCTTTCCTAATTTTGGAATTATTGCACTTTGAACTTTTTCCATGGACATAACTCTGAAACTACAAGAGGTGTACTTTCCTGTGTCCAAAACCTATTCGGGGAGCATCACCCGGCTCAAACCGGGCTCTTGTTTGTTTAAGCACCCATTTCTCCAATATCTTCAACCCGTTTCTTGGTCATTTTTATAACAGTTGTAAACGACTAGCACTATCAATATTGTGATCACATGTAAAACTATGTTAAGCTGAAGGCTAATATTTATACTGTTGGGAAGGTAATAAATACTAAGCTAGCTATTCGGGTGTATCAACATCTCTTATATTGTGCATAGTTTTATCGTCGTGTTGTTGTACAATACGCATTGCATATCAAATAACCCTCAAAGAATTTACCAAAGAACATTTATTATTATGCAATGATTTGTAATAGTGTGTGTAGTGTGTGGTTTTTTATATTGTGCCTTCCTACACATTTTTTTTTGAAAGTTCAGAATATAATTTTATTGATAATGATCTTTTAAGGTATTGTTTCCTATATCTTACTGTTTAAAACAGTATTACAGTTGCATAGTTTTAATATAAGATCTAAACTCTTGTTATTCTATATAGTACTATTTTAATAAATGTTTGTGAAAAAAATTGTTTTTTTTTTGTTGTTGTTGTTTTTTTGTTAACTTGTTGGGGCTACCAATATCACCCTCATGATCATGGCTTGAGTTTTGATGCTCACTTTGGATTTAGTTATGTTTTTGTGTACAAGTTCTTACCTCATTAATCACTTTGAATTTATGTCCACATATGCCTTAGATCTCTATTGTAGGTCACTATTCAATTACCATCTAGAACTACTTCTGAATGTGACTTATACCCCGGAGAATGTTCTTTGTAAAAGTGGAGTGGCTCTTGGCGCATGAAACCATTTCCATGATATCCAAAAATCCATTTCCATGATATCCAAAATCCATTTTCCTAATAACAGATATTTTCCATTCCATGATATTCCATTTCCATAATATCAAAAATTAAAAATATGCTACTTAGATTGATAAATACTAAAGAAACTATTATATATCTCCGCAATAAGCCGACCTGTTCCGAGCAGACTTAAAGCATGCTAATTAAAAATAAAAGAAATTATAGGATATTGTCCCTCCAAAATTGGTTTTCTGAACAATAATGTCAGCCATATTCTGAAGAGAGTAAATCCATACCTTAGTTTAATATTTAAAACATATTAATTCTTTAAATTATTTCTAAAAAATAGAGTTGCACCATTCGATTGTCAGCGGCCTACAAATTTTCGGACAAAATTCAGTGCAGCACCTCAATGCAGATTTTTATTTTTTTTTAAATGTCACATGCTCTCTAAAATTGTCCTGAGCTAGTTTACATATACAAAATTTCAGCACAAATATCATTTCACATTTTTGCTCAATCCACAAAGTTCATATTGTCACACTTTTGTAGTTTACTGTAAACAAGAATGATGACTGTTAGGAATTTCTTGCACCAAGATACCATTGACTTTTGTGCTGTTGTCTTCTGCATGATAGTAAACAGTTACCATGCTTCATCTTATTCTGAAAATATACAACTCGAAGAGCAGAAAACAAGCCTGGTTCAATTCTATCAATGTTTATTGTACATTCATGCCTTAATTTTGGGTGAGGTGGGTGGGTGAATTTGAAAATTTTCTCTAGTCTTTCCAGTGTGGAAGCTGAGGTTAAAAGGAAGAGTATTTGAACCTAAACAGGAAGTGACCTTTAGCATTCCATCTATTTTCAGAAAATTATCAAAGGGAAATTACTCAAAATTAAAGTATGAAAACATCTTGTAGCAGTTACATCCCTTATACAGTTATATCCAGTATTCTGCTAAAATAATAAGGCCTTATTGACTTAAACAATAAGACACATTATTTTAAGACTGAATTCATACAAACAATTAAAACAAAAAACCTTAACTTTTGATGCATTTTATTCATCCATTATATCTTGTACTCTATAATCCATATTAAGTCAAAATTAAACATTTATAGGAATGGCATTATTTGACCGCACTGATAAACCAAATATTAATTCCACTGGTAATCAACAAGTGCCATATGGAATTTGATACCCTACGCTGACAATCAAATGGTGCCACCTTTAAAAATTTTAAAATATGGTATTTATTATGACTTTCAGTTTTAGTCCACTTCATATTCCAGTAATAGATAATAAAAATTCCATTTCCATGATATCCAAATATCCATTTCCATGATATCCAAAATCCATTTTCCTAATATCAGATATTTTCCATTTCCATAATATCTAAAATTAAAAATATGCTACTTAAATTGATAAATACTAAAGAAACTATTATATATCTCCGCAATAAGCCCACCTGTTCCGAGCAGACTTAAAGCATGCTAATTAAAAATAAAAGAAATTATAGGATATTGTCCCTCCAAAATTGGTTTTCTGAACAATAATGTCAGCCATATTCTGAAGAGAGTAAATCCATACCTTAGTTTAATATTTAAAACATATTAATTCTTTAAATTATTTCTAAAAAATAGAGTTGCACCATTCGATTGTCAGCGGCCTACAAATTTTCCGCCACAACAAAGTGTTTGCACTTTGTCCCCCAAAATTTTAGGCTAGACTTCTAAATACTTCTGAGATGTATCTGACTCATTATTTAAAAATAAGGAAACGGCTTCTGACACAGCCAAAATAAACATTTCATTACCAATGTCAGACAAGTGCACATTGTCTGCACGGAAAAAACCAGGTGTGTCCTTGTCAATAGATTTGATATGTAAAGATCTACCATTGGGCTGGGTCAACATAAACTGTGAGATAGACCTGTTTACTCTTTGTCTTTTTCTATTCATACAGGCCAAATCTGAACCCTTACCCTGCCACAACCAAGACAATCTCGGCAGAATAAAAACCCATACAATTATCGCACTTTGGAAGTTTTCAAAAATATACCTTATTTCAAATTTCAGTTGCCGAATGATGTTACACACATTTGTATTAACAATATTAACAATATTATTCCCCCCAATATGCAGAAATACAGAGATTTCATGGAAGTTACTGAAGTGATTTAAGGCTGTTGTATAAGACATTCTTGTATTCTCAGACATGCTTGAGCTAATTAAACTAACAGCCCTTTGCTGAATATTTGCCAAAGTCGGGGTTCCATTGCGCATGCTGTCGGACTGGCGCTTGGAACAAGAGACCAAAATCTGTCCATCTGAAAACGAGACAAGGCATCTGTTACGGAATTATTTTTCCCAGAAACATGCTCAGCTTTTATAACAATATTTAATTGCAAGCATTTAAAGTCAAATTTCTGAGTAGAACCATCACTTGTTCGGACTTTGATGTCATTTTATTAATAATATAACAAACAGACATGTTATCAGACCTAAAGCATATTTTTTTATTTTGTAGTTCCTCACCCCATGCAAAAATTGATACAACTATTGGAAACAATTCCAAAACTGTGATATCAGCAGTATAACCAAGTTTATGCCAATCATTAGGCCATCTTTCAGCCATCCATTTTCCAGCAAAATATATACCAAAACCTAGACCCTCTGCGCCAGCACTGTCAGTAAACAACTGAATGTCCTCATTTGATGTCCAAAAACGATCATGAAATACTCTTACACCATTGAAATGTTTAAAAAAGGATTCCCACATTACGAGATCTTGTCTCATACCCATATTAATACGTAAATGGTGGTGCGGTTTTGTTAGCCCACATATTGAATCTATTAGGCGTCTACAAAATGGGCGACCAGGGATAATGGCCCTGCATGCAAAGTTTAATGAACCAATCAAGCTCTGCATTTCTTTAAGTGTGCACCGCTTTTTTTGAAGAATTGACTTAAGATTTGTTGTGATATCTTGCACTTTGTTTAAAGGTAAACGTACAACCATATTGTCAGAGTCTATTTCCAATCCTAAAAATATCAAAATTGTAGCAGGACCCTCTGTTTTATCCTCTGCTAATGGGATCCCTAATTTTTCCATTGTTTGTTTAAATATCTGCATTAATTGTTCACATTTGCTTGTATTGGCTTCCCCACCACCCAGAAAATCATCAAGATAATGCATTAGATTGCTTGTTTTGGCATTGAATTTTATAATATGCGCTAAGGAATCGGCAAACCTATTGAATAAATTACAACTTATAGAACAACCAAATGGTACACATTTATCAACATAAAAACCTTCATCAAACATAAAACCCAATTGGTCAAAATCATCTGGAGAAACAGGGAGAAGCCTAAAAGCACTTTTGATGTCCATTTTAAAAAGCTTACATTTTTTACCCAATTTTTGTACCATTTGAATAGCTGTATCAAAATTTTGATACTGTACCTTACAGTTGGAAGGATCAATAAAATCATTCAAGGATTCACCCTCCGGGAATGATAAATGATGAATTAAACGAAAATCCTGTTGGGCTGCTTTTTTGGGCACTAAACCTAAAGGAGAAACTCTAAGATAAGGTAGTGGTCTTTCTTTAAAAGGACCTGCTACACGTTGCAATTCAAGCTCTTTATTGATTTTTGCTCTAACTATATCTGGGCGGTCCAAAGCTGATTTTAGGTTTTTTGCATTAGTCGCTATACGAGGGCCTTCATATTGCAAAGCAAACCCGTACCGAAAACCATTAAATAAAAAATTTGACTCTTCATGATCATAGTTTGATTTTAAGAGTTCATGCTTTAACTTAATAATATTCACAGGTGAAGGAGCAAGATCAAGTTGAACAAGACACAAAGAAGAATTTTTAATGACGTTGACCCCTGGTTTGCCCTCTGGTATAATTTCCCCTGGTGGGTGGGGCTGCTCTGTATGAGCCGCGAAAGGGAAAATTAGATCTGCCCACTTGAAATTGGTCAGCATGTCCAGGTTGACTACGACATGCCACCTTCCCATGGTTTGCTTTAAAACAAATTGAACAGATATGAGGATATCTGCAGTCGGGATACCTGCAATACCCATTATTAAAATCTAGGCATGGCGGGGCTTGATTATTCTGTTGCTTAAAACTTGTATGTAAAGTGCCAGAAAAACAAGGCACTTTAGATCAGATATGATACTTGACCAAGACATAAATTGATCAGCCTGACGTAAACGAAATTGCTTATGACAAAGATATATTGAATCAAGTCTTGAGCTTGTTCTGGGAAGGCTTGGAGATAAACACTGGAAAATATCAGAAAAGAATCTGTCCATTTATCAATGGAATAAATTTTTTCCATGGAGGTTCGTGGCTTGGCTACTATCTGGCCATTTTCATCAACACCAAGAAGAGCTCCCTGTGGGGTTTCTTTCAAATCTGTTGCAGTTCCCTTCAACAAAATAGCCAGATTTATGTATTTGTTTTGCTGAATTTTTAACTTTATTTGATTGGGCACATGTAGTCCCAAGTTTTCCCCACCACACCTCATTAAATTTGGTTGCTCAGAAATTTCAAGCATGGAACTATTAGAAATTGGTTGAGTCACACCAGAAGATTTATTTGGTAAGTTTAAAGACTCAGAAATAATTGTTTCAAAATCTATTATTTTCTTACTATTTGATGCAGGGTTGCTGTCTTCCAGGAAAGTTAATCTTTCTGGTTCCTCCTCCCTTGTAGCCTTCCTCTTTGTCCCTCTACCTCTTCCAGGCATTGTTGTTTTTAATTAAACTTATTTAAAATAAACCAAAATATTTAGATTGCTTAGATTTTTCAAAGATTGAATTTGAAAATGTTCTCTAGTCTTTCCAGTGTGGAAGCTGAGGTTAAAATGAAGAGTGTTTCCCATGTGACCCTAAACAGGAAGTGACCTTTAGCCTTCCATCTATTTTCAGAAAATTATCAAAGGGAAATTACTCAAAATTTAAGTATGAAAACATCTTGTAGCAGTTACATCCCTAATACAGTTATATCCAGTATTCTGCTAAAATAATAAGGCCTTATTGACTTAAACAATAAGACACATTATTTTGGGTATGTGATGCAAAATGGTTTGCAAGTACTGCTGATGGTTCATTCATCTGAGGCTGCCACATTTTCATTTGTTTTTCACTTTCTGTCAGATTCATCTTTTCATATTCTTTCGTTTTCTTTTGTTTTCCATTATTTAAAAGATTTGTACAAGGAACATTACATTTGTCAAATCTTATTATAAGGTTTGTTTGGACTCTTATAAACTGTATAAGATATCTGTTAAGAACTTTTGTTATGTCACAAGCAAAACTTTGTTTTCAAATACTAAAAATCAATGTTTGTCGTATGTTTTTTGTCCGTTTGTGAACAAATATTTATTGCAAAGTAGAGTTTAACTGTCAGTTACATAAGAGCCACTGTCGGGGGCAACGCTCGACTTTTTTACTTTTTCTTTAGAGCAAACAAATAAATGGTTTAAACAAATCTTTAAAAAGAAAATTAAAGAAAAAGAATTAAGTTTTCCTCTTTTTTATGTTTAATAGGTCTGTCTAGTCACACTTGTTGTTTTTGTCCAGTGAAGTATGAATCCTTTCCATAAAAAAAATCTACATATATACGACAAAGTAAAGAAAATATAATCAAAATTCTATCATTCTACATGTAACATCTTAATTATTACACATGACTGTTTGGTCATATATAATTTATAAGTGTTGTTTTGTCCACAAATGAATCAAATCTGTACATAAATAACAAAATTATGACAACCAAAATTAATAATTTGACCTTTACAGTCAGGGTCATTTAAAGCTCAAGGTCAATTCAACTTTTTAAAAGGTTTTGTCCAAAATGTTGTTTTGTCAGAGTTGAAGATAATCCATTTTTCACAATGATAGCACATTTAATCAGTGAAAATTCAATAATTTAATATTCAAGGTTATGTAAATGTTAGTGAGTCATGGTCAATTTGAGTTTTATAAAAATTATATTCATGCATGCAGGTCTTATTTTAAAGAATGTTCTGTTATAATATGAAATAAATCCTTTCCATAATAACAAAGCTAATTTATATATAGCCCGAGTTACAGCAAAATATTTAATGAAAATTTCAATAAATTGACATTCAAGGTCAGCATCATTTATGAGTGAAGGTCAAAGTCTTTATGATTCACTTGGATGTCTTTTCTAAAAGATGACTGATAATGTTCAAGTTTGATTTAAGACAATCCATTCAAAAAATAAAGTTATAGGCACTTAAATAACACTAATCAGCAAATAAACAAGCAAAATTTAGGAATTTGACCTTGCAGCCAATCTGATTAAAACCAGCCCTAAATCACGCTCCGCTGCATACAAGAAATAAGTAGTTCAATGTCATTTATGAATGAAGGTCAAGCTAGGCGAAACTAGTACATCTGCTCAAAAATCTTGTTGGCCAACAGTATGGACACACTATAGAAGTCACTATGGAAGTGTATTGACTCGAGATCTACACCAAGATTTTAAAGTTATTATCAAGGTACAAGTTTGCAGATGGCAACGGGAGCAATACAATTTTGTACCTCTTTTTAGCTCACCTGTCACAAAGCGACATGGTCAGCATTTGTGAGCGCTCATCATTACAATGTCCAACATCCGTCCGGCGTCCGTCCGTAAACTTTTACTTAAAACAACATCTCCTCATAAACCGCTGAGCCAATTTTATCTAAACTTCACAGGAATGTTCCTTTCGTAGTCAACTTAAAAAATTGTTAAAAAAAATTTAATTCTCAGCAGAACTTTTGTTGCCATAGCAACCGAAAGATCAAACTTAAAATATCTTCTCTTTACTCAAAAACCAAAAGAGCTAGAGCTTAAATATTTGGCATGAAACATAATCTTGTCAGTGTCTACCAAGTTTGTTCAAATAAATGACCTGGGGTCAAAATTGGCCATGTCCCGGGTGTCATTGATTTTCCTTATTTGTATATAGTAAAAACTTAAAAAATCTCCTTTTATAGACCCCAAATAGCTAGAGCTTAGATATATTAGGCATAAAGTGTTCCTGGGGTTCATTGATTTTCCTTATTTGTATATACAGTCACATTCCTCCATTTACGGGGCATCGGTCTATTTCAGACCATAATTGTTGGGTTTATATTTAATGTGGGGCATTATAAGGCCTCGCAACGCTGGCAATTGTTTAAAACGATGTATGGGGGCGTAGGCTACCCTTCTAAAATAGTGCCCGTAGGCCGGTTTTAGTAGTTAATGGTATATGTCCCACAAATTTATATATTTTTAATGGGGTTTTATGTTATTGGTCAATATGTTTTCACCTATGGTAAAATGAAATATATAGTTGATATATATAACTTAGTACCCCTTAGTTCTGTTGTATGGAAATGTTCGTTTTATGCCTACATAGTGGCATATATAAAAACTGACTGCATGAAATAATGCCACTCAACTCGGTCTTATATATAGGCCCCGTAAGTGAAGGTATGTGTGAATATATATATAATACATGTATATATATAATATTGTAAAAACTTTAAAAAAATCTTCTTTTAAAGAACCCAAATAGCTAGAGTTTTGATATTTCAAGCACGAAACATCTTCTAGTGGGTGTCTACCATGTTTGTTCAAATAAAAGTCCTGAGGTAACAATTGGCCCCGCCCTAGGGGGTCATTCAGATATTCCTTATTTGTGAAATTATAGTGTTAAAACTAAAAGAATCTTTTTAGTTTTAAAAAACAAAAATATCTAGAGCTTAGATCGATATTAATTAAGCTTGAAACATATTCTTTCAGATGTCTACCAAGTTTGTTCAAATAAAAGCCCTGGGGTAAAAATTGACTCCGCCCCAGGGGGTCATTTTCTTTCCCTTTATGTAAATAGTTTAAAACTAAAAAAATCTTCTTTTAAAACCCTAAAAAGAAAGAGCTTATTTTAAGATATTCAGCATAAAACATGTTCTAATGGGTGTTTACCAAGTTTGTTCAGACAAGGGCCCTTGGGTTAAAATGGCTCCGCCCCGGGGGTCATTAATTTTTCCTTATATTTATGTGTATAGTAAAAACTTAAAAATCTTCTTATAAAAAAAATCCCAAAGAGCTAGAGCATCATCAGAAATATCTTCTACTGTGTGTCCACCAAGTTTGTTCAAATAAAAGCCCTGGTTTGAAATTTGCCTTGGATCAAGAGTCTATATACAGGTGAGCGATTTCAGGGCCAATATGGCCCTCTTGTTGTATTCTTTTTTTTTTGTCAAAAAAAATCAAGCTGGAAATCTAAAAAATAATATTTTTGGTCCCAGGTCAATTAGTTCTAGATTTCATACTATCCCTTTATTTTTTTTCTGATTTTTTTTTTGATACTATATGCTGCTACAAATTGCAGCTTAACTCCTAAGTAAATTCATGATACAAAATATTCCTTTATAAATACATGTTTCTTCCACTATCACAATCAGTAGGAAGATGGTCTATCGCGATGTTAGATTGGTTTCATATAAAATGTATTCATATTCTACACAGTTACTTCCCTTAGATAGTAAAACGTCACCAAAAGTGAACGCAATCAAGAAGTTGTAGGAAGTTTCTTCAAGTTTCTCTTTGTAGTAAGAAGTAAATATCGGCAAATTTATTCGCATTACAAAAAAGTTTATTTTTATAAGGTAATTTTAAATCAAATATAAATGTAACATTAGCTTCTTTTCCTAAAAGAGACTGAAAAGGGTGTTGGAGCACGACACTAAATGCCATATTCAGGTATATACCTGACAAGGAGCGCTAAAATCTCGACTTTTTACCCACCGGAACGAAATTAAAGACATTCATCTGTTCACACTGATTTATATAATAATTAATGAAAAATGTAAAAATCAATGTAAAAAAAGCGTTATTTATCTAGTATGTGATCAATTCATGATTTCGGCAATGACATTTTGACCACAGGAGCCTGAAATTATATCAAAAACAAAAAAAATAACGATTTAAAAAAAAATCCCATATATATAGTAAAAAAAACACAAGGAAGGCAACAACATTTCCCCACCCACCGCTACATTTACCAGGAATATTTATAAAAACGCCTGGGATTTACTTCCGAGCACTTTTAATCAATAAAGCACATTAATATCTATCAGAAACACTGGTTACTCTTATCAACTATCCAACTTTTACGCCAATTGAATGAATTTATCACTGCATTTCTCCCATCGTCGGTTCCATTGCCAGTTCTGCGCTAAATTCCGTCATACCGTCATTGACTGGTTTTTGTAGATCCCGAAATTCTATCAAAAACGAAAAAGAACGATTTAGATAAAAATCCCATATTACCCATATTATAAATACTATTATAAATATAGGATTTTTATTTAAATAGTTCTTATTTTTTTTTGTTTTGGAAAGAATTTCGGTATCTACAAAACCGGTCAATAACGGTATGACGGAATTTAGCACAGAACTGGCAATGGAACCGACGATGAGAGAAATGCAGTGATAAATTCATTCAATTGGCGTAATTGTTGGATAGTTGATAAGAGTAATCAGTGTTTCTGAAAGATTTTAATGTGCTTTATTGATTAAAAGTGCTCGGAAGTAAATCCCAGGCGTTTTTATAAATATTCCTGGTAAATGTAGCGGTGGGTGGGGAAATGTTGGTGCCTTCCTTGAGTTTTTTATAGTATATATATGGGAATTTTTTTTAAATCGTTATTATTTTTTGTTTTTGATATAATTTCAGGCTCCTGTGTTTTGACACAGGACAAAAATAACTTGGATTCTAGTTTTGCCATGCCAAAATATCCTGACTCTGAGTTAGCATCTGGAGGTACTGCTCCAACAGTTAAGAGAATTAAATTCAGTAGCTATTCATGAAATTGCATGCCTAGTTTAACACCATTTTCTGGTACTTTCTGTTCATCCTAGTCCAAATATTTAGACATAACTGATCTTACATAATAAAACAGGTTGTGGTTTCGGCGAACTTAAATTTATATAGTGCAAAAAATATCTATTGTATTATGGGAACGTCAATTATCGCGGGTCGTAATGTGTGGTTTATCACACATTTTCATGCATTTAAAAACAAGATATTGAAAATTTAAACCTATTATTTATAATTTTCTTTAGTATTATCAGGTACGTACCTGGTATAATAGTAATTAATAATATTTACATAGAAGCATAACACAATACAAAAGATCTCAGTGAACAAACAACATCATTGAATATATATACATATACATTGACATTGTATAAGTAAAACCTGATTTTTTTTTTACAGAAATATATACACATTTAGTGAGTTTAAACATATCTATTTTTATTTTTCTTACATATAATTAATATATTTTTACATAAATTAAAGCATAACACAATACAAAATATCATCAAAATATTGTACGTATATACATATATGTACGATAGTAAAACTTGAAAAAAAAGAATAATGATTTACAATTTTCACGAATATATACACATTAAATATATCTTAAACCAAGACGTCCTAAATAAACAATTGATTTGCAAACTAAAAAATATATTTTCTTTTTTTTTCTTCTATTTTTTGTCAAAAAAAAATTAATCAAATAACGCACAAATCATCAAAAAAAAGTATAATATATAGACATACTTGTACAATATAATTATTATATTCATTAATGATATTTGTGCCATAATTTTATTACATCAAAATATTGATGATAAAAACACTTTATATTTATGAACCATGTCTACTTGCCTTTAATTACCATATAACATAACATCGATGAAACCACTTTCGCACCTCTGTATAAATTAAGTCCGCCAAACCGGTAGTTCGACGAAACCACCATAATTCGTCAAATCCGCTTTTCCGATAAATGTAAAACTGTAAAAAAAGAAAATGTGATGTCTTTCAATGAAGGACTATGTACATCCTAGACACGTTTGCTCTGGTCAGACTATCTTATTGATTTTCCTATACAAAATAGTCTTACAATTTGGGTGGGATTTCAACCAAACTTTACAGGAGTGATCAGTACTATCCCTAGTTGTGCACATCACCGGCACCTTCCTCTTTGCAGCACAAAAAGGCTGCCAGAGCTGAAAATAGAAAAATCTTGTTCTGCCTCCACAGGTCAAACTACCGGTGGGATTTCAACCAAATTTTACAGGAGTGGTCAGTACCATCCCTAGTTATGCACATCACATGCATGTTCTGCTTCGCTGTACAAAGTGGCAACCAGAACTAACACAGGTCAAACTGCTGGCTGGATTTCCACCAAAATTCACAGAAGTACAGTAACATCCCTAAGTGCATATTACGGCATGTTCCGCTTTTCTGCACAAAATGGCCGTCAGAGCTATAAATAGAGAACTCCTGCTTTCACAGATCTAGCTACTGGTGGGATTTCAATGAAACCTACATGAGTGACCATACTTAGTTTTGGGAGACATATGTTTTTGTGACAAAACCCTTCTAGTTGAATTTTCATGCTAAACAAGGTAATTTTTCCGCTAGACTTTAGAATCAGTCAGCAACTAACATAACAACTTTTAACATAATGATTTAAATATTTATGTTTCTCTACAAAATCACACAGTTAGGGTTCAGGGTCTTTTTACCCTTATTTGATGTAGCCAGTATCCGGCTACTTCCCCAAGTTAAAGGTGAATTACTACCTTTTTCCCCCAAAAAATAAGTCTAAAATTCTCCTCTCTGGGAAGATTCCCTTTTAAAATGAAATAAGAATCAAAGAGTAATACTTGTAAACAAACGTTTTGGTTTAAAAATAGATAAACGTTTTTGTCCAATGACAGCCATTGATTCAATTACCCAAAAGGGGGATGTCTTGATTCAAAACAGTAGAGGTTAACTCATAGCCTTGGTCTGATATTGCAATTTCCTTAACACAGCATTGGAAAAACCCACTACCTCATTCTGACATATGATATTTTACAACATTACGGTGAACGATGCCACTAATGTAAACAATGTGACACTAGTGGTGTTTAAACAAGAAAAAATACAATTGTGTGACATTTGTAATACAGTTACTTTGACCATTTTATCAAAATTTGGAAGATTTGATGACCTTTCTGTAAATGCAATACCTGCCAGAGTACCCAATACATATATCTGTTCTCAAGCCTCGGTCCAGGAATCTAGCAGAACATGCCCAAGTGTCACTAATTTCGAGCCTAGTACAACATGCCCCTATTCACATCTGAAATTTGCTTGGCTTAAAGCGTTGAATATGTGTCGAATGGTGTGTTTTAAATTGCTGTACAAGTACAGAGTAGTAAAAACAATTTGTCTGTATTGTTCAGATTGCCTTCAGACAAATGATTTTTTTCCAGAATTTACTTTTTAAATATAAAATTTTAAATACATGTATGATACTGACAAGTAAAGAAATGCTTCTGATAAAATAGACAGGTTTAGTCAAAATCAGATTTTGCAGGCCTTGGAAGTTTATTTCCCAGTTATTTTTTTAGCGTTTAAATAGTTATTGACAGTTGACTATGAGATTTATTTACAAATAGTAACTGAACAAAAAATGTTTTTAATCAGATAGTTTAAGGCCCATTTAGCCTCAAAAATGCTTTTATTTCTCAAAAACTTTGATTTTTTTATTTTTGGTGCACTTTTGATAGTATCCAAAAAGTTACTCATTGAAGCTGCTTTTTTGGCACTATAAGTACAGTTGTAATAGTGAAAAAATATTTTGTATTGAAGTCAAAATACTACTTTTTTTTCATTATTTCTACTTTTTAACAAATTATAGCACATTAATTTTTCATTTATATAATTAGAAAATATGTTTAAACTAATGGGCCTTTTATTCATATATTTACAATATGAGCACTTTCTGATTTTTATTGTTTATAGTTTAGATTTACCCTTGTCCGTCCGTCCTTCCGTCCGTCCGTCCTTCCGTCCGTCCTTCCGTCCGTCCGTTCACTTTTGTGTCGCACGTAACTCAAAAAGTATTTGACCTAGAGTCATGAAACTTTACAGGAATGTTGATCAGCATGTGTAGTTGTGCCCCTGGGTATTTTGGTTGGGATATTTTTAGTATTTTCAGAGTTATTGCCCTTGACTTAGTAAAATTTTGCAATTTTCAACTTGTGTCGCATGTAACTCCAAAAGTATTTGACCTACAGTCATGAAACTTTACAGGAATGTTGATCAGCATGTGTAGTTGTGCACCTGGGTATTTTCGTCTGGATATTTTTAGTATTTTCAGAGTTAATGCCCTTGACTTAGTAAAATTTTGCAATTTTCAACTTGTGTCGCATGTAACTCAAAAAGTATTTGACCTAGAGTCATGAAACTTTACAGAAATGTTGATCAGCATGTGAAGTTGTGCACCTGGGTATTTTCGTGTGCATATTTTTAGTATTTTTAGAGTTATTGCCCTTGACTTAGTAAAATTTGGCAATTTTTAACTTGTGTCGCACATAACTCAAAAAGTATTTGACTTAGAGTCATGAAACTTTACAGGAATGTTGATCAGCATGTGTAGTTGTGCACCTGGGTATTTTCATCTGGATATTTTTAGTATTTTCAGAGTTATTGCCCTTGACTTAGTAAAATTTGGCAATTTTCAACTTGTGTCGCACATAACTCAAAAAGTATTTGACCTAGAGTCATGTAACTTTACAGGAATATTGATCAGCATGTGCAGTTGTGCACCAGGCATTTTCGTCTGGATTTATTTAGAATTTTTAGAGTTATTGCCCTTCACGTAGAAATTTTTTGCAATTTTCAACTTGTGTCGCAAGTTTCTCAAAAAGGATTTGACATACTAAGTCAATAAACCTTATGGGCAGGTTGCACAGCATATTTTAGATTTGCACCTGGGGTTTGGCTTGTGGATTTATCCAGTATTTGTGGAGTTATTTCCCTTGACTTAGTAAAAAGATTGACAGAACAGTGTCGCGGTGGGGGCACCCGTGTCCTATGGACACATTTCTAGTTTTTTCAGAGATAGACAGAGATGATTCCAAAAGTCAACTGCATTACAGCATGCTTGAGTCACTATAAGTTAGGAATTTTATTATTCCTTGTCTTGAATAATATTGGACAGACATATGGAGGTAAACCTTAATTTTTGTTACTTGAACTAATTTTAAGGAAGTCTGGTACATTGACCTAAGTAAAAGTTTCATTTTTGTTTCATTTAAGTCATATCTTACAGGAGGTCAGTGTTTCATTTCCAGTTTCAGCTGGAAATATGCCTAATGAGATTTAACACCAAACAATGTCCAGTTCATGATACAAGTTATTTTTTAAACAGTTGCATGTAAGATAGACTAAGATATTTGGACTTTAAATGCCACAGATGTTATTCACTTTTTACGACAGAAGCTTAAACAAGTTCTCTTCACAATCAAAATTTTCTTCATAATCATGCTGTTTTCCCAAAACCCAAATTAAGACAAGCTTTTTACTTTCCCAAATCAGCAATATGTGATTATTCTCCCCAAGATCTAGAGACTATGTCCTCTTTCAAATTACGAGAGAAATACCATCTGTGTTTGTATTGTCATTGATGCATTTCCTTCATATAACTGCTGTCATTTTGTGAACAGAATCTTGCTAAAAATACATAAAAAAAAATCAGAAAATACTGTCTGCTTTTGGCATCTTCCTCCAGAAGAAAATCTAGGATTTAAACCATAGAAAGTGGAATTATAACTTAATTTACAGTTCTTTACTATTTGACAGGATAAAAATAATTTAATATTTAAACTTAATGAAATCTTTTGTACATGTTTCTAGTCATAGTTAAAATAGGATTCAAAGTTACAAGCAATGCTTCATGCAGTAAATAAGCAATTTTCACCACTGCTGATTTTGTAGTCAAATTGAAGTCAATGCCACGACAATTGCATTGTGAGTGTTCTTTAGTCCTTTGCCTATCAAGATTGCAACTTGAAATGTTTGGTATTAACAATTTTCTTGCTTATTTGTTGACAGGTCTTACTATTAACTTTATCAGCAGTAGTTGTGGCATGGAGTATGGTCTTGCATTTCATAAAACTGCACAAATTGAGCATAAAGGGTCAGATATTTTACATGATGACCAGTGTAATATGGGATTTTTCAAAAATCAGTTCACTGATGAACAAATAATTTGTGTTTCTGGTCAGGAAATAAAGCTTGATTGTAGGACAATTCTTGAATACCATGCTGGATATATAAAGGATAACAGATCTGATGCAGAGGTAGGCCATACTTATGTTGTACAATAACATTTTGATGAATGGCTTGAAGTGTAACTGTTGTGAATACCTCATATAATGAGTGAGAGATATCTGCTTGATTATTCATGTACATGTATTTGTAAAAATGTTGATGATTTTACCTGTTGTTTTATTGTTGTTGTGGTTTTTTATGCCACCGCAGCATTAGCATTGAAAACATAAGTCTCTCTGATTGACAAAGTAATGTGGATGCTTAACTGGTAAAAATAGCTAATGCGGTGGCACAGCATTTTTCTCAAATGCAATCTTGTTTTGTATTGGCATTAAAGGCACATTATGCCTCAGAAATGAATAGAAAAATTTCCTTCTTGAGATTAGACAAACAGTTTTTAACAAGGTTTTCAACGACAGGTTATTGTAATGCCAAAGTTGGCAGACGGGGCTAACTTTTGGTTTCCGCTCAATAACATAAGTTTGCTTTAGCCTATTGACACCAACCTTGGTGTGTAGGTAGCATATATCAAGAGGCAGCTTGGGATTGCTACCAAGGTGTCTGTGAGATCAAGGTCAAGGTATTGTTACTAAAAATATAAATTCAGTTTCAGCTCAATAACTTGAGTTTGCTTTGACCTATTGACACCAAACTTGGTGTATGGATAGCTTGTATCAATAGGCAGCGAAGGATTGCTACCCAGGTGTCTGTCATCAAGGTTAATTTATTCAATTTTCATGTAATAACTTGAGTTTGCTTTGACCTTTTGACACCAAAGTTGCTGTGTGGCAGCTTTGGATCACCACTTAGATATCTGGGCACAAGGTCAAGATCATTTGCTTACAATAGAATTTTCAGCTTCTACTCAATAACTTCAGTGCACTTTGACCTATTGATTGCTGTCACATTGCGGTGCCTCTTGTTCATTGGTTATAAAAAATTTTTTTTATCATGTTAGATGCTTAGTGGCCTACTTGTCACCTGAAAATAGTTGTACTGAAGATGAAATTATTTGTCTTGAAAAGAAGCAAAATGTAAACAAAGTAATAATTTGATTTGCATACAAAAACTAAAACACTATAAATGTACTAATTGCCAAAAACACAGAAGCAAAAGACCAAGGTAATTGGTCAATGAATAACTTTTTAGAAACTTTCAGAGCACATCAACAATTTTTAAAAAACCTTTAAATAATTTACAGAGCGTTGGCTAAAGTGTTAATTTTCTTTTACTCATTTTGTTATCTTCTAAATGTTGGTTATTGAATTTTCCATGAAATAGTAGGTCATTAGGATTGTCATAGTCTTAATGAATTTGACTATATGATCAGTATTTTCTGCTTCGAAATAGAAAATACCCATAGTCAAACTTTTTATAACATTATGGTTTCCATTTGACAATGTGAACTGTGTGAGCATTCTTTTTTGTCTACTGTTTTCAGAAATCAATGACATGTAGTAATGCGACACTTGATGAATGGTGTGCAAAATCATACCAAAGCACTGTTTACATTGTAATAAGAAAAGCAGCTGAAGTGACATCTGATGTTATAAGATTAGAGGTTTATGTGAAAGATGGTAAGTTGTCATTATAATCATATAGTATTTTCGTGTTTTCTATCAATACTATTTTAAATCTGTTGACACTGTGTTAGTGAATATAAATAATAATGCATAACATGTTAATGAAGCTTAATTTGCTTTAATTATGGCATAATTAATCCCTTACCGCATAGTGGAAAGGAAATTATAGGAATGGCTTCCATCTTACAGTTCGTCCGTCAGTCTGTCCGCACTCACAGGACAGTAATAATGTGGCTAGAGGGACAATAGGGATGTCATTCATTCCATAATGCTTTTATGTGGCTATTTTCTTTTGTGTGGCTAAAAAGAAGAATAGAGAGAAAAATTATAGAGTAGCAACATTATTACTGTCTTATTAGAATGTCAGTCTGTCTGTCCGTCCGTAATACTTTTGTGTCCGCTCCATAACAGCTGAAAACTTTTTGAAATAACTTGGCAAAAGTGATCACCATAATGAGGTGATGTGCAGAGTGCAAAAATTGGGTTGCCATCCCAAAGGCCAAGTTCACACTTAAAGGTCAAATGTTTAAAAGTTTTCATTTCATAATAAAAAGTCTACATTTTGTGTTTGCTTCATAAATTTTAAACAGCTGAAACTTTTTAAAAATAACTTGGCACAAGTGATCACCATAATGAGATGATGTGCAGAGTGGGTTGCTTCTCCCAAATTCAAGGTCACACTTATAGGTCAAGTGTTGAAAGGTCTCCATTTCATGTCTGCTTAATAAATTTAAAGGAACATCACTGGGTTTATAAGCCTAAAACATGATATTTTAATTTTTCACATAGATAAACATGAGCACTTAAAACAGAAATATAAATAAAATATAACTAATAAATACACAAGAAATACTTTGAAAATCATATGTTTGTGCTATTCTCAGTCCGAGATTTGAGCGAAAAAAGTTTAAACGCTTTTCAATTTTGGGTCATTTTTTCACCATACTCATTATAATAATTATTCTGGAAAAACTGAGGGATCTCATGATCTGAAATTTTGTGCATAAGTTATTAGTATAGATCTACATCAAATGGGTAATAATCTAAAAAAAAAAATTCAATCCTGTCATGTCAAAAAACTTCAAAAAACCCTTTAAACGGTTGAAAATTTTTTGATTAACTTGACAAAAGTGTTCACCATTATGAGACAATGTCCATAACTTTTAAACCGCTGAAATTTTTAAAAAATAACTTGTGGAAGATTCTAAATAACTTGGCACAAAATAATCACAATCGTGAGACTATTGGCTTATGATATGCATGGCACAACATCAAGGTCATAGTTGGCAAAAGGTCAAGAAGTACACGTTCATGTTCACTGCGGAAGGGGATTTAGCTGTCCTTCAGACTGCCTTGTTATTATATCAAAGTGAAATGACATAAATCCGTAATCAGAACACACTATCTAAAGTCCAACTCATGGTAGATTTCCCAATCCCTGATTCGAACCTTCTTTAATTTTTTTCAAAAAATAGGTCTGTCTGCATTCTGTAAATCTGTCGAAAGTAAAGAACAATTAAATAAACGTACTCCAATGTAATTTTCAAATCTTTATCTGAATGAACAATTTGATGTATCTGGTTGTTATCACTTGGTTGTCATCACAATTAAGCTATTGGTAGTTGTTGCATTGTTAAACATGGACAATAGGTACTATGAACGTCGCTTGTTGACTGGACCTGGTTATATTTTACATTAGCTTTCAGTATTTTACACAAATACCTTATATATCCTCTGTTAAGCAATTTTTGGCCAAAGGTCCCCTTTTTCTGTTATTATGCTACATGTATTTTTTCAGCACCAAGTCATGGGCGAAGAGATGCTTTGATATATGCATTGCCAATTGTGGGTGTGGTTGTGATTGCATTGATTTTAGTGGCTTATCAAGTGAGGAGACGCCAGAACAGACAAGGATATCTTGAAAGTAAATATGATGCAGACACCGGAGCAATTACTATGCAGACAGGTGCTTTAAATCTATTCATTTAAGTATTTCGAGCTGAATGTTGTAAGTGGTTCTACTCAAGTACCTGCTTGTGTTTGAAATAATGTATATTGTACAACTGGCAACTGAGTTCTGCCTGCCACAGTAAATCAAGCATGTCAGTATCACTATATTATATTTCTTAGCATCTTTTTCAGTGAAATTCCAATTTAATCAAATGTAACATTAATGTTTTTAAAGTTAACCATTTAGTCAAGTAAAGTGCCACACTTTAAGTTAAGTTTTTTTGTACCATCCCATTAATATTTCCTATACCCTTTGAAGTATTGCTTTAAAACTTTGTATACTTATTATGACCATCATCTCCACTTCCAGGCAAGAGGCCAATTGACTCTGTCTTGGATTTTGAAAAAATTATACCCCTTTTTTGCAACTTAGAACTTTGGTTAAGTTTTTTTAGCTCCACTTTTCTATGAAAAGGGGAGCTATCCTACTCGCCCCGGCGTCGGCGTCGGCGTTGGCGTCACACCTTGGTTAAGTTTTTCGTACCACCCCACTTTATTTCAGAAGTATTACAAGTATGGCTTTGAAACTTACCATACTTGTTCACCATCATAACCTCCATCTACAGACAAGAGTACATAACTCTGTCAAGGTTTTTGACAGAATTATGGCCCTTTTTTGACTTAGAAAGTGTATTGAGCTTGGTTAAGTTTTTTGTACCACCTCACTTTATTTCAAAACCATTGGAGGTATTGCTTTGAAACTGACCATACTTGTTTACCATCACGACCTTCATCAACAGACAAGAGGACATAACTCTGTCAAGGTTTTTGACAGAATTATGCCCCTTTTTGACTTAGAAAATACATTGAATATGGGTAAAATCCACTTATTGCCTTAACCCTTTGAGATATTGCTTTGAAACTTTTAATGCTATTTCACATCATTACCCCCATCTGTACGCAAGAGAAGGTAACTCTGTCAAGGATTTGTTTTAAAAATTAAGGCCTTTTATCGACTTAGAATCTTGGTTAAGTTTTTAGTACCAGTCCACTTTTTGACTGAACTGTTTGAGATATTAATTTGAAAGTTGGAATACTTGTTTACAATCATGATTCCCAAACATGTCCAGGAGAAGGTAATTCTGTCAAAGATTTTATTTGAATTATGGCCCTTAACTGTCAATGTTTTGTATTATAGGCAAGCACTAAAAAACTTAAAAAATCTAAAAAAATTCATTCCTATCCACTTGTTCACTTTACCATAAATTATGTCATAATAAAATAATTCTTCACTAAATATCTTAATGCTCATGGCCATTGTTCACTTTAAAAATACAGAGATTCTTGTATTGCCTTTTACTGCAAAAACTTTTTTTATTGGCAAGCAATAAAAAAGTCGAGCGCGCTGTCGTACGGACAGCTCTTGTTTTTTACACCACTTCACATATTTTGTTTACCTTTTGAGGTATTGCTTTGAATGTGTATTCTTGTTGGTGACCACTAACTACGCGTCCACCAAAGATGACATAACTCTGTCAAGGATAATGACAAAATTATGCCCCTTTTTTTAATCAGAATTATGGCTAAAATATAAAAAAACAGAATCCCTAAAGAAAGTCCAAACACAACAAAATTGAAAATGTTGCAGGCTCGGTTTGATTTTGAGCCTGTTCATGGAACGGTTACTTGGAAAGTGCAAGTTACCGTCCACACGCCCCTAGCACCGGCTTAAGCAAAATTCAACATACCACCCTACTTGCTTTCTATATTCCCTAAGTGAGGTATCACTTTGAAGTTTTTTATATCTATTTTTCTCATCTCAATTTTCAGGCAAAAAACTTACGAAAGTTAAGGGGTGCTGTCTAACTGACAGCTATTGTTTTTCTAGGAGGTTTGAAATACATCAAACTAGAATATTTAGAATATAGGATCAGTCGCTACAAAATTGTAAATATCATGGTTGAAAAAATGGCCAAAACCCCTGTAAACTTTTTGTATTTTTTTCAATTTTACTCAGAATGAGCAGTTATGGACCCTCTAAGACCTTTTTTATACGCCCGTTTAAAAACGGGACGTATTATGGGAACGCCCCTGGCGGGCGGGCGGTTCGGCGGCGGGCGGCGTCCATTTTGTCCGGAGCATATCTCCTACATGTATGGAGGGATTTTAATGAAACTTCATAGAATAGTTCACCACTATGAGGAGCAGTGTGGCGCACATGAACCAGGTCTCTAGGTCAAAGGTCAAGGTCACACTTAGTGCTCATTGAAAAATGCTTGTCCGGAGCAAAAACTTCCACATGTATAGAGGGATTTCAATATTACTTGGCACAAATGTTCACCATTGTGAGGCGGAGTGTCGCGCGCAAAGATTCAGGTCCTTGCGGCCAAGGTCACACATAGAGGTCAAAGTTCAGATAAAAATATGAAGATGTGTATATGGACCATTTAGTCATCATTTATTGAGGGATTGTAACACAAATGGTCATTATCAAGACTATGGCTGTGATACATATAATTTAGGTCAATATATACTAGGTCAAGGTCACAAAAGATGATGAAATATCCAGATTTTTTGTCAGGATCATATCTCCTACACGCATGAGGGATTTTAATGAAATTTCATAGAAATGTTCACCATTATGAGAAGCCATGTCAAGCACATGAAACTAGGTCTCTAGGTCAAAGGTCACACTCAGAGCTCATTGAAAAACGCTTGTCCGGAGCAAAACTTCCACATGCATAGAGGGATTTCAATATAACTTGGCACAAATGTTCACCATTGTGAGGCGGAGTGTCCCGCACAAAATTCAGGTCCCTGCAGCCAAGGTCAAGGTCACACATAGAGGTCAAAGTTTAGATAAAAATATGAAGATGTGTATAGGGACGATTTAATCATCATTTATTGAGGGATTGTAACACAAATGGTCATTATCATGACTACAGTTGTGACACATGTACTTTAGGTCAGGATATGCAAGGTCAAGGTCACTAAAGATGGTGAAATATCCAGATTTTGTCTGGAGCATATCTCCTACTATATGGAAGAATTTTTATAATACTTTATGGAAATGTTCACCACCATGATATGTATTGCTCCATGCATGATCCAGGTCCCCAGGTCAAAGGTCAAGGTCACACTTAGAGCTCATTGAAAAACGCTTGTCCGGAGCAAAACTTCTACAGTCATAGGGGGATTTCAATATAATTTGGCACAAATGTTCATCATTGTGAGGCTGAGTGTCCCACGCAAAATTCAGATCCCTGCGACCAAAGTCAAGGTTACACATAGAGGTCAAAGTTCAGATAAAAATTTGAAGTTGTGTATAGGGACCATTTAGTCATCATTTATTGATGGATTGTAGCACAAATGGTAACTATCATGACTACAGGTGTGACACATTTAATTTAGGTTAATATTTGCAAGGTCAAGGTCACTGGAGATGATTAAAATATCCAGAATGTTGTCCGGAGCATATTTTCTACATGCATGGAGGAATTTAATGTTACTTTATAGAATTGTTCACCACCATGAGACGTAGTGCCCTGCACATGAACCAAAGTCTCTAGGTCAAAGGTGAAGGTCACAGTTTAGAGCTCATAGAAAAACGCTTGTCTGGAGCAAAACTTCTACATGCATAGAGGGATTTCAATATAATTTGGCACAAGTGTTCATCATTGTGAGGCTGAGTGCCGTGCATAAAATTCAGGTCCCTGCGACCAAGGTCAAGGTCACACATCCTGTGCATATCTTCCCTACTGATTTGTTTTAAGGTTCATTTAACAACACAGTGCCAAGAATAGAAAAACTTGCTTGCTAGAAAATAACACTTATCCATAATGACCCCCATCTCCATCTAAAGCTTTTGGTAAACGGGCGTATTTTGTGACTATGGCACCCTTGTTTAAATATCATTTTAATTGTTCTTAAAACAACAACAGGTCACCAAGCCAACTTCTCAGGAGGATTATACGGAGACAGACTGACCAGCAACATATTATGACTAGGTTCTAATGGAAAACGACAACAGAAATGCAACATCTGGTTTCCAGCCTCTGATGTCTGGAAATGGTGATTATGTAGTTTCCTATTAGGCCTCATAGCTCAGTACAGAGAGGGTGGACCGGTCATTTCTGTTATTTCAAAAGTGGTTCTTGTTAGATACTCGACAAGCAGCCATATATGGCCCATACATGTGTTGATATCAGTACAAAAACTAGACAAGCAAAACAGGCTTTATCAGTTCACTAAGGATAAAGTAAGCTGTTAACCTGCTGGAATGGAAAAGTGATCAGTCTTTGCCACCCAGGCTTCTATATTTTTGTTATCTTAGTTTATAACTTTATATATGATATTTTCTATATTGTTTATCCTTTATATATGATATTGATATCCCTATACACTGGAGCAGCCGCGAATATAGCGCTCATGTTGGGGTCCATGATCTCAAGACAGAGCGTTGTAAACGAGTAACTTTTTATAACGCTCATTTTGTAATTATAGCGAAAATATCGCATTACCCCACCCACCGCCGAAACATATAACGCTTGTTTTAGTGGAATTGAATTGTTTAACTTACCTTCCAATGGATATCAGTCCAAGCTTTTTTATATATTATTATTTAATTATTTTGTTAAGCATTACTGAATATCTTTAATATAAACATGAAATTTACGAATTAAAAATATAAACCACGAATGTTTATAAATTTCCAGTAAAACAGCGGTGTTAACGTGAGTTATGTGTGGTCCATGAAAATTGATTACCTAGTGGATGGGACTAAATTAATCGTCTTTCCTGCTGTCTCTTATGAAAAAAGATCAGTCATCCTCAACAACTTTTTCGCAGATTAGATGAAAGTGCATGCTTTTTAAAATTAATTGTATGCTTGGGTGATTTACTTAACTCGTCGGTGTTTGCATGTCTTAGCTACAGTTTGATACCTGACTGATCAACAGTTCAAAATGAACAAAAGAGCGGATAAACGCTTACCTTGTGTATGACTTCACACCTTCTTATCATGAGTGACGTAATTATGACTGTTTTATTGCACTCGACTGACACATTGAACAAGCGTTATAGTGGATA